GAGTCCTGGCTCGGTTAGGTCGTTCTCTTTCATGATTTTCTCAATCGCCTGTGCGTTCGCGTTCTCGAGGTCAAAATCCTCAGTCGGGGTCCGGTGTATCACGACGCCGAACCGCGCCTTGACCAGTTTCGTGTTGTTTCCTAGCTCGTTCAGCCATTCTGTGCTGTTGCGGGCCGCTTCCGCCGACTCTGTGTCTTTGAACCGGATGACATATCCAGTTTTGGTGGTGCCAACCCCGGCTACTTGGGCGTCGTGTGTAGACGGTGCGTTCGACAGCGCCGTGCGGATTTGGATGTTTGCGGTATCCGTTGGGAGATATCGCCCAAAGGTATTTGGTTCGTTGCTTTCATTGTCTCTAGGATCCACGAAAGAGCGCTGGGTGCTGATTCGGACGCAGTCTTGGTCCTTGTCTGGGCGCTGGTGGTTTGATTGAGAAGGTGGGTGGCTCGCTGCTACTGTGGCCCATGATTTTGCGGTCGGTGGTGGTGGGAGGGCATCAATATGTGTCCGCAAGGCTCGAACTTCCTCGTGGAGTTTCTCATTCTGCGTCTGCAGGACGTTCTGGTCGTGCTTCACTTCTAGCAGTTCGTTCTTGGTGGACTGGATGAGCTCGGTTTGGTAGGCGATCGTCTCTTTTAAGCCTTCGATCAGGCGGCAGATGTCCCGGGTCGTGACGCGTCCATTGTTGTCTCCGGATCTCGTGGTCTCGGAACGCGTTGCGGTGGTGTGGTCATCGCTGGGCCGGGCCTGTCTTCTGGTCCGAGGCGCAGTAGTCGAATTAGAGTTATCCAACGCGTTGGTCGTTGTCGTTCCAGGTGTGGTTGTGCGAGGGGGCTCGGGCCCTCCCGCGTGTGGGTCCGCCATCCCTTCCGTTCGGTACACAACAATTTTTCCGGTACAGGATCCTCTCTGTGAGTCGACTTGCTATCCCGATAACAGTCGATGTCCTTCCGTACTGTACAGACGCGCTGTTCGAGGTACAGACGCGCTCGAAATCAGTTTCACCACTTTACTCTCTTTGATTCTTTTCCAAACTTGATCCTGAAACACGCTAGTCTGTGTTTGGATTAGGCTACTTGGAAATATTGAACCGTATTTTAACTCCCGGTCACATGGTTAGTTGCTCTGTAATATATTGGAAAGAAGGAGACGATTGATACCCCACGTATACCAGTAACGAGTGGGTCACCTGACAGCGGGGTATCTCGAAGACTCAGCCGCATGTTGGCGACTAACCCTTCTAGAAATCACATGGCTGCAATAATGGCGTGCACGGTATCATATGACGGTTCAAACACTGGGATTCAAGTTGGGCAGAACAATGGTCATATCACTAATCAGTTCCGTGAGTGGCGCATAATTCTAAAGGAACGTGACTAATCGGTGTGATTGCCCAAGTACAATCAGAAACATCATTGAGTCAAGCGTGCCTGCGGGATCTGCGGACGACCAATCCTCACCATGACAAAGATCGTATTCAGAACACCAACGGTGGGCTACTCAAAGACTCATACCGCTGGATTTTAGACAATGAAGAGTTTCAACAATGGCAAAACAACCAGAGCAACTGTCTCCTCTGGATCAGAGGCGATCCGGGCAAAGGCAAGACAATGCTCCTCTGCGGTATAATCGACGAGTTAACACGGTTGTTTGGGGACACTGCGAATATCTCGTTCTTTTTCTGCCAAGCTACCGACGTGCGAATCAATAACGCCACGGCTGTACTTCGTGGCTTAATATATTCGCTTGTGAAGAAGCACCCATCTCTTCTCTCCCACGTAAAGAGTCAGTATGACCACGCGGGAAAAGCATTGTTTGAGGATATAAACGCATGGAATGCTCTCTCGAGGATCTTCACGGATATATTGAAGGACGCGACCTTACTGAGCACCTATCTGATTATCGACGCGCTGGACGAATGTACAACAGGCCTATCTCCCCTTCTCGACTTGATTGCTCAGGTATCGTCTGCCTATCCACAAAGAAAGTGGATTGTCTCGAGCCGCAACTGGCCCGATATCGAAGAGCGTCTTGACTCTACGAATACCGCTCCGATCTCTTTAGAGCTCAATGAGGCGTCTGTATCTGAAGCTGTGAGCAAATTCATTCAACACAAGGTTCACTACCTGGCGAAAGTGAAGAAGTATAGCGATGAAACTCGTCATACGATTCGCCGTCACTTGTCATCCAACTCGCAAGGAACTTTCCTTTGGGTGGCCTTGGTCTGTCAAGATCTTGATAGAACATCGCGGAGGCACGCTGTCAGGAAGCTGGAGGCGTTTCCTCCTGGACTGAATGCCTTGTACGGTCGGATGATCGATCAGGTTTGCAACTCCGAGGATGCTGAGTCCTGCAAGCGAATACTGGCTGTCATGTCCATCGTGTATAGGCCTATCGCGTTTGACGAGCTGGCCTCTCTTGTGGAGCTACCTGATGATCTCTCTAGTGACTCTGAAGCTCTATCAGAGATTATCGCGATTTGTGGTTCGTTTTTGACTGTGCGCGAAGACACTATCATTTTCGTCCATCAGTCCGCAAAAGAATTTCTACTAAGAGAGACGCAAACTGGGGTATTACCTGGAGGTATAGAAGCTGAACACCATACACTTTTCTCTCGTTCTCTTAAAGCCATGTCGAAGACACTTCGGCGAGACATCTTTCAAGTCAAATTTCCTGGATTCCCGATTGAGAAGGTTATACCACCCAGTCCGAATCCATTAGCAGCTGCACAATATGCGTGTGTCCATTGGGTTGACCATCTTCATCATAGCGGATGTCATAAAAAAAAGGATCTTGACATTGACGAAAGAGGGTGTGTTGGTGATTTTCTGCAAACGAGATTTCTTCACTGGCTTGAAGCCCTCAGCATTCTAGGAAGCATATCACAAGGCATAGCAGCGATGCTAAAGCTCGATGGCTTACTGCAGGTGAGTTATTGCTCATATACCGAAACCAATCTCCGCTTCTGACATCAGAATTACTATAATAGGAAAATGGGGAACCGCCTGCACTTTTAGAACGAGTTCAAGACGCCTCCCGATTCATTCGATACCATAGGCTAGCAATTGAAAGTTGCCCCCTGCAAGTATACAGTTCACCTCTGGTATTCAGCCCCATGTCGAGCCTCACGAGAAGATGTTATCAAAAGGAGAGACCGGATTGGGTTTTGAATGAGCCGTTGGTGGACAAAGATTGGAGTCCATGTTTTCATACCCTCGAGGAGCATAGCGGATCGGTCAACTCGATTGCCTGGTCGCAAGATGGAAGCCGACTCGCATCAGCGTCCAATGATAAGTCGGTTAGGATCTGGGATCCGGCCACCGGCCACTGCGCGTCAACCCTCGAGGGGCATAGCAGTTTGGTCAACTCGATTGCCTGGTCGCAAGATGGAAGCCGACTCGCATCAGCGTCCTGGGATAAGACCGTCAGGATCTGGGATCCGGCCACCGGCCACTGCGCGTCAACCCTTGAGGGGCATAGCGGTTTGGTCAACTCGATTGCCTGGTCGCAAGATGGAAGCCGACTCGCATCAGCGTCCAATGATAAGTCGGTTAGGATCTGGGATCCGGCCACCGGCCACTGCGCGTCAACCCTCGAGGGGCATAGTGATTTGGTCAGCTCAATTGCCTGGTCGCAAGATGGAAGCCGACTCGCATCAGCGTCAGATGATAAGACCGTCAGGATCTGGGATCCGGCCACCGGCCAGTGCGCGTCAACCCTTGAGGGGCATAGCCATTTGGTCAGCTCAATTGCCTGGTCGCAAGATGGAAGCCGACTCGCATCAGCGTCAGATGATAAGACCGTCAGGATCTGGGATCCGGCCACCGGCCACTGCGCGTCAACCCTCCATATCAGCTCTCCCGACTTTCTTCAATTTGATAAAGTCAATCTCAATCATCTACACACGTCAATCGGTACATTTGATATAGGATTGACCGGTACCGTCACGTCCACTCCTCACTGTTCGACCCTGCCAGAACAATACGGGTATAGTTTGAATCATGACCATTCCTGGATAACCTATAATGGAGTCAATCTCCTTTGGTTGCCTGCCGAATATAGACCAACCCAGTCGTCTCATTTTGCTATATCTGCAGCAACTCTGGCAATTTGCTGTTCTTCAGGTCATGTCATATTTCTAGCGCTTACAGAACAGGGTCCCATCCCTAGCCTATGATCCATTTTCATATCTCTTCAACAGATTCCGATGCCTTTCCTATACACGTCTCATCTTGATTAGCCTCTATGATTATGCCCAGAATCACCTCTAATAGAAAGAAGTCGTGAGACTGTATACATACTCCCAAATCGGGACTACCTGCGTAATTCAATTTAGCAGATCAACACATTAAAACGCTAGGGCAACAGGTACATAGTCAATTACCTAGGAGAGACTAAGCGCACGATCTAGCATCCATCACTCCCAAGGTACAGACGCGCTCGAAATCACTTTCACCGTTTTACTCTCTTTGATTTTTCAAACTTGATTCCTGAAACACGCTAGTCTATGTTAGGCTTAAGGATAATTCAAATTCTCGAAACGTATCGTAAATTTACATCACATGACAATGTTCTCTGTAATCTATTGGAAATGAGGATACGATTGATTGATACCCTATGTCTCGATGCACCTCACGAGTCACTAACCAATACGGACTGTATTCTCTCCTGTGCAATGTGGATTTAAAAATCTCGGTCGAAGTGGCGCAAACACCCCAATAGGAAAAATTACATATATGGCTTTGACGACAGATGGAGAGCCAGAACCAAAATGACGAGTCTTTCCTTCCTAGTGTCGCTTGAGATATCACCTGACAGCGGGGTACTTTGACAACTCAGCTGTATGCACGCGACTACCTCTTCTCATAGTCAACTGGCTGCAGCACCGACTTTCTGTTTTCCCAACAAACATTCACTTCCTTCCAGTCACATCTCTTTTATAGCCCTCTTCATCTTCTTTCCTCCTCTTTTCGGGTCCTGATCTGCCCCGTATCACATTCATGCCCTCATTCACGACAGCCGAACGCATCCACGCGGTGGAAGTCATTATCAACTATGAGTTCCATGACAAATATCTTCTTGTGAAGGCCCTGGAAGCTGCCGGGGCCACCATGGCCGGCCAGGGCAATAAGCGGCTTGCTCTTATCGGGGACGCTGCCCTAAGGCTCGTTCTTTATGAGTTTGGTTATGAAGACGAAGCTTCCATTCGTGAGACCCCTCAATATATACTTATATATTTTGTCATTCCTTGTCCAAATGTTGATGAGAATGTTAATGAGATGAAAGGTGACATGACGAATGCACAGAATACTCGGGCCACAAACGAAAACCTAGCGAAGATAGGCTTTTCCCTGGGTATCGACGCCTACATCCAGCTGAATCCTTCAGCCCAGGGCGTCGTCCCTGAGCGGCTGATGGCAACTACCATCGAGGCCATCATCGGCGCTGTCTATCTCGACCGTAATAAGGACATTATGGTCGTACGTCGCCTGATTATTCATCTGTGCGTCATGCCGACGCTCTAATAAATATCCTCGGATAGGTACAGGAAACGCTACGCCCCGTTCCCAGGTTATATTCATCTTCTAAATGCTGATTGATTCTTTAGGTCGCATTTCCCCGGGGGTGTTTGTATACCCTTGCGGCGATATTTGCTGGCAGATGCCCTGATAAAGAGGCTTTTCAGGCCTTGACGAGGTGGACACCTTTGGTACTATGCGTCCCTCTCGAGAAGGCCTGGAAAGCCTCTTTATGATGGCATCTGGTGGTTAGTATAGTTGTAACAGTATCCGAATACTCCTATGGGCGCCAGTCATTGGCGTATGTCTAGCACAGAGATATCTCCAGACCTTCTACGACAGGAAGCCCCTTGGTACCCAGGCTTCCTATCGCAAAAGACCTGGCCAAATCTCCATGCTAGCCAAATATCAATAACTGGTATCTGCAGTTGCTTTTGGTTTTTATGTTGATTTGTTTGTTTTTATTGGGACATATTCAACATATCGTCCGCTGATTTATTGGCTTGGCTCGAAATGTTTTATTTTTTTCATATTTTCAGGTCTCTCAAGGTTGCCCAACCATTCAACATCTTCGGGTCATCGAGTGTTCTTGGATATTTGCAGTCATCATTTTTAATCTAGTCACTCGTTTCAAATCCATCGTCAAGCTTTGCAGAATCCTATAGCATATGAATTCTTCTACTGAAAGCTCACACTAAACTCTTTGAAATGAGGTAGGTTGTTATATACAGCTCTAACAGTACAGTAATGTGTAAATGAGGGTGGTGTATATCCGTAAAATCCTGTAGTAGGTGGGTATTGCGAATCCTGGTCCGAGTGGGGTCCTGGGCTTGGGATTCATCACCGTTGAGATCGAAGTGGTCAATCATCGTGCTCAATTTTCTAGTAAACCAAACTTCAGCACATTCTGGTCATCCAGGGTTCAACAGAGGGTGGGACCCAAGGAATCCAGCATTTTGTAGGGCAGATAAGTCGATTATAAAGAAATATTTCATCCCACCAGTACTGTATCGTACAGGCAGACAGTTCAATACCGAGAAACAAGCCTGGAATGAATCTCATGCGCCAAATTCTTGTATCTACTGAAGTGGGAAGAGCGCACTGGCGGTCTGACATCGCAGACAAGACGATGGGGGTGTTCAGTGCCCGACGGGGGTCATCGGTAGGAAAGCAGGCTCATGAATAGGCAAAGTAATGAAGAATGACCGTATTGTGAGAGTTGTGGGATGCATTAATTGCTATGCTATGGAAATGAGCACTAGAAATACCCTTGCTGCTGTGGCGCAGGTGAGAAGTGGCGCGGTTTCCCCATTACACTACGTATGTCTTCGCTCGTCCACTGTGTTAGTAGAGTAGTAGAGTGAACGTGGTAGTGGCCAGACAACCGACTGAATCTCCTGCCAGCTAGTCTATTTGGCTTATTTGCAAGCGCGTGGTACTAGACACGCATAGCTCATACAACCACGATACGATAGCTAATTTTTATGCCATTTTTTATTACCGTACTAACATACTGCCGAAAGTGTGGGTCAGGGGTAAGCTAACTGTTAAGGTGATGGCGTCATGCAAATTAGAGTTCAACAAAGAATTGAAGAGAGTAAAGAGGTGAAACTGATTTCGAGCGCGTCTGTATGAGGATGCGATTAAGTAGGTTGAGGTAAATACTAACGTTTCGATTACAAGAAGGCTGACATGCATGCACACACAGAAATGATTCGTTGATGTCCTACGAAACGGTGAAATACTTCAATGCGGAACAACATGAGCTTGACCGATACCGTCGCGCTATCTGCAACTACCAGAATGCGGAGTACTACACATTCCTCTGTGGGATCCTATTAAACGCCAGTCAAAACACTGTCTTATTGACCTGTTTACTGGTCATGTGCTTCATCGCTGTGTATCAAATCTCTTCTCTCCAGCAACCCGTGGGTTTGTTACCTTGTTGATGTACATGTCCCAGTTACAAGGTCCCCTGAGCTTTTTTGGGGCCTTCTATGTCTCCATACAGTCTTCTTTGATCAATGCCGAGCGTATGTTGGAGCTTTTCAAAGAGCAGCCAACAGTCACTGACAGCCATTGCGTTTTCCCCTTGGCCACTTGCCAGGGAAAGATTGAGTTCCGGAATGTCAGTTTCTCATATGATGCGCGAAATCCTGTGTTGACTGGACTCACGTTCACTTGTCAACCAGGAACGACTACAGCTTTGGTGGGAGAGTCTGGTGGGGGCAAATCTACTGTTCTCCGTCTCCTCATCCGATCCTACAATCCTGAAAATGGCAAAATCCTCGTCGACGGACGTGACGTCCAGGATATCGCGATTGATTCTATTCGTAAGAAAATCGGTGTGGTTCCGCAGGATGCGACGCTTTTCAACGATACTTTGATGTACAATCTAAAGTACGCCAACGCCGACGCAAGTGATGAAGATGTGCACCAGGCTTGTTCCAAGGCCGATATTTATGACAAGATCGAAGGTTTCCCAGATGGTTACAACACCAAAGTTGGAGAGCGTGGGCTGCGCCTCAGCGGCGGTGAGAAACAACGTATGGCAATCGCTCGAACTATCCTGAAAACCCCTACAATCATACTGCTGGATGAAGCTACGTCTGCACTCGACACTAAAACAGAAGAGCATATCCAGAAGTCCCTAGCTACTCTCTCCAATGGCCGAACCACGCTCATCATTGCCCATCGGCTAAGCACCATCACATCGGCAGACCTCATTCTAGTGCTGAGTGATGGCCAGGTGGCCGAGAGCGGCACCCATGAGGAACTATTGAGTATGGAAGGCCCTTATGCCCGTATGTGGAGAAAGCAAATTGGCGAGGCAAAGATACTCGGAGCCCAAGACAAGGTGGAGTGCATTTAAGGGGATCAGCTATACACAATTTCACACAACACTGGCTACATATACAACACATTGAAAGAGCAGCAAATTTTTGTACCATAGTATGTACGCTTCGAGTTCTTGATGTCCTTGCCAAAACCGGAGAATCGCGTGGATTTAACAAGCACCCATTTCTGAGCAGCTATGATGTAATGACGAGGCCAATTATTCAACATGAAGATCTTTGGATGAGGACATGGTCCTTTATGCGACCGCTTATTCAGTTCACACGTTTGTAATTACGATACTGTGAAGGCTTCAATTCGCCATAACCTATAATTGAAGTATTAAAAAGTGAGGTCTGGTTGTAAGAGATTAAAGATTGAGGGCCTAGGTCTTCTTCTCACGAAGCAAACCATGTGATCCAATACTACATTAGCAATTCTGTCGGGAATGACATTGAACTTCGGATCGGGAGCCGACTATCCTCGAAGCTTCCTGCATACACGGGTACCCCAAGTTTGCGCATATCTTAGCAACGTCCTTGATATAACATTTCATTATGACTGGAGGGCGGGAAAACAAGATTTGCGGACAGAAACTGCTGGGGGCCGGTAATTAAATAACTTTATCAACCGGATTGCCCGGGTGAGAGAGGGGAGGGATGATTCGACGGGTTAGGTAACCTGTTCAATTAATTCTATGGAAACATTTATTTTTTAAAGTTGGTCAACCGGTCTGGCCTAGCAATCTGGCTTATTTGATCATAATGAGAGAGATCTTAGAAAATTGTGGTGGTGTGCAAAACGGGTAACCACAAACAACTGTTTACTTCAAACCTCGGCTAAGCAGATTGTTCATTTCATCGAATCTATACCTCACTCTCCTTGCCATCACTAATTGCCTGTTCATTACTATAGTTCAGTTCTCTAAACTAGTTGCTTCATACAATTAACCCTACAAGTTATGACCAGCTTATTCTACCTGAACATTGCAAGATATATTCATGAAGAGATCTAATCAATACGTAAAAAATCGCACATTTTTTAAACTCGTCTTACCCGAACTACCAGAAGTGATGCCTTCAATGATCTATCTATTCGCTTCGATAAGAAAGGGCCGTCAATAAAATAGTTTTGCGGGGCAAATGGCGTCTGGTGGAGCCCAGCCATTAAACAACACTGACAACTACTTTTATGATATTTGAGATAATAGGGAAGGCCATGGGAATTCACGATCTCCACAGTCATTAGTACCTCTCCGTTTATCATTTCCCAACGGTTTGCGCATCCGCTTGCACACGTGTCCTTTTGAAAATCCATTCGTATAATATCTTCAGCGTCAGATTGTATTGATATGCAATCCACATATACAACATTGCGATTAGACCGAAGTGAAATCTGATTATGATAATCAATAGAAAATATTACTAGCTGTTCTTTCCATTCTATTATCCCCTCTCCCTGACTACCCCATTTATTACGATAGATTGAAAGACGATCATTGCAAATAAGTCCAAGGCCACATGCATGGTGATCACATCGATTAGGCTGTACAGTTCAACGAATCGTTCGGTACTCCAGAAAATACACAGTCTTGGTCCTCTCTGAAGGCAGATCGATTTGAAATACGCTAGTATATTTAGATAGCTTCCTGGTTGATTCTCATATATGGCTTAATGGAATCGTAAGATTTGAGAAATTTATGCGATAGCGCAGCTATACAAATGCATAATGGCTAGACACATTGCGACTTACGTTCGTTAGATTCTCGCTCATTTTTTCCAACCTCGCAACTCCTGCACTGCCCTGTTTATTTCTCTCGTAAACCTTGTCTCGGACAGCGCTTTATCAAGCCCATCACGGGATATACATTTTCGTTTGCGATTTGGTGAGATTGCTCCCAGAATCGGCCGCAAATTAAGGATTTCAGCCCTTTCAAAGTCAAAAAAGACAACCTTGTTGCTTTCTGGATTGTAGAGCCAATTCCGCGGCGCCGGGTCCTTGTGGACAACATTAAGGCGGTGCATCTGTGAGAGCGACTCTTTCATCTTGGCTATTAAGGAGTCTTGCCTCATTTCCCTGAGTGCCAGATCGAGAGGCTGCCCACCCGGACTCAAAAGCATCATGTGCTTGAGATATGCGATACCGTCGTAGCTGTACGGATGAGCCAAGTCGATGCTTCCGAGGTAGAGAGGAATGTATATGCCCTGGATTGAACGAAGTCTGGCGTATACAGCAGCTTCGTGCCGAAATTGTTCCACAAATTCCGGTACGGTGCATTTTGCAGGCACAGTATATCCGTGCGATGACAGTGTGACTTTCAAAAGAGCACCCCGGGAACCGTGTATACCCAGTACTTCGCAATCTGCATTAACGGTCTCAGATAATTGACGCTGCAACCGTTTGACGAAAGCTCTTGCATTAATGACATGGCGCGTTTTTCCATGATCGAGGACATTGGGGCAAGTCTGATCTAGCTCGCCCCCATTCACCATTCCACGTAGACAATTTAACGTGCAGTAATAGCGACAGTTCTCTCCCGAGGACCGATGTGTAGCTGCTGTGGGTGCTGAATGATTCGACGGTGCCTTTCTTCGTCCGATATCCCGATAGGTCCGTGGATCTCGGCTCGGCGTATCGGGGTCAGGATGATCGTCGTCCGCATCGCGCTGTGTGTCGATTGATTGGCAAGCACCAAGGCTGGAATTGTTTCGCCTGCGACGTAATTGTATCGGCGACATTCGAAGAAAGCCATTCGTCCGCGGAGGGCGATATTCGGAACTCGGCACCTCCTCATCCGGGATACTGTCCAAAATATCCGCGACTACCACTTCCCACTTTGGTAATGAGTTGATTGCGTGTTGCCTCCAAGCCTGATTCCGAGGCCGCAACTTGAGCGCCTGGAGAGTGAAGGCGAGAGATTGCCCCACGGCGGTCAAATGCAGACGATTAGGGCCGCCCAAATGGGGATCCCAGCCAGTGAAGTCCCCAACATCTCCTTTCGGAACAGAGAGGTGGTACAAAAGCGTCCCAGGTTCTTCCCCAATTCGCAGGTAGATATCAGCTTCGCCAGCACTCAGCACTCCCATTTCCGTCCCAGCGCGAACCATGTAGTCATGTGGCTGCACGAGAAGCCCAGCGATCGCACGACGGAACCGAGCTTTTGAAGGTTCGTCTTCTTTTTGCTCAACCACTTCATCGATGTCCATATCCTCCAACCCTTCATAAATGTGGCCTAGTGTCACCTTGTGCGGGGATTTGTACTCCTTGATATAAGCTGCAACGCGATGGATCGATTCGGACGATTGACTGGGAATGTTGTAGACGCAGAACTGATCGGCACGAGGCCTGTTGTTTCGCGCTGGAGGTGGAGTTCGCGGGCCACGCGTCGCTGCGGTGCTCGATGTACTTTGTTCCCGGGCAGCCAAACGCGGGGAACGCCGTCGTGGCCGACCACGAATATCAATATTCTGCATTCCCTCCTCGAGTTCCCATTCGGGGCTCAGAGTATTAGAGTGATTTTCAAATCGTATCGACCCTCTCAACCCAAATGTTTGTCGCAGTGTTGGATCACTGTAGAGTTCTTCGATGATTTTCGAAACGTGGTCCTCGACGGTTTGGCGAAGAAAATGGTTAAGATCAAGTTCCGAGCCAACAAACTGCCGCCGAATGCTCTCTCCTGTTTCTTTCAAAGTGTGGAGAGAAGTAAACAGTCTTTTTTCGACAAGCGAAGATTCCATCAGCAATCGCCAAATCTCCTCTTGTTCCTTCGCGAAGGAGTCCCAGGCTTTAAGTTTTCTGGGGCGAAGTTTGTTGGTCGCATTTGCGGGATCTCCACGCGTGGATTGAGTCTTATCCTGCTGAACTTCAAGACCAAGAAAGAGATGATTATGGAGACCGTCGAGAAATGTGGGAAGGCTGGTTTTAGATGTCTTCTCCTGGTCCTCCCTTCGAAGACGTTGTTCCTCTGCCCGAAGACGTTGTTCCTCTGCGAGATTCTCCCTATCCTCTCTCCGGAGGCGCTGCTCTTCTTCACGAAGTCTTTGCTCTTCTGCAAGAAGGTGCCGTAGCTTGTCAATTTCAGCGGACATTTTGAATTTCAAGTCTTCTGGTGATTTCTAAGTTGCGGGTGGCAGTGTTTACCGACGCGTCGCTCACGTGCTCACATGTTACCCCACGTGACTTGGTGTTGACTTTAGTCACGAGCTTTCTAGTTCACGCCCTCGTCCAATCAGCACTAACACCATTCTTATTGAAACTGGAAAGACTGGTCCCTACCTTGCCATAAGCGGGCCAATTGATCACCGTCAATCTACTACCCGAAAAATGGCACTGGACTGTAGTATATTGTCAGGAAAATGGTGATCAGCATCGTATTAACCCAAACAGTACCTCTGAGATTCTAGAGGATTCGATACCAGGTATTCTCGAGGGTAGTTTTACCCCCTCGAGCCCAGTAGATAGGAAACAAGAATCAACACTCTTTTCTGATCATCTTTATTATTCCCCTTTTTGATTCCGTTGCCTTTCGCTGGCCAGTAAATCCGGTGTAGTTCCACAACTATACAGAACACTCCTGATATATATTGACTACTCTTGCTCCTATCTTTTACTATTCTGGGAAAAAAAACTTGTTATTTCATATGCTCAAGGGAAGGGTACATTGCACGAGCAGAGTGACTAATCTGGTTTGGTAAAAGAGTCAAATTGGTAAAATACACAGCGATAAACTCAGATAAACAAAAACACAAAATCGTGGCCAGCTGCTGCCCTGGTCAAGAATGCGGCTGGGAAGTCCAAAAATGAATTCTTTTTGGTAGGAAAATGCGGGGGCTGGTAAAGTAAATTCTAGTGTGCAAAACGAGTAACTACTAACAACTTGTTTATTCAAACCTTGGCTAAGCAGATTGTTCATTTCATCGAATCTACACCCCACTCTCCCTGCCATCACTATAATTGCCTGTTCATTACTATAGCTCAGTTCCCTCAACTAATTGCTCCATGCAATTGAACTTTCAAGTTTTAACTAGCTTTTTCTAGCTGAATATTACAAGATTTAATTAATCATGAGAAGATCTAAACAATGCGTAAGAAATCGCACACTTTTCAAGCTCGTCTTTCCCGAATTACCAGAAGTGATGCTTCAATGATCTGTTCGCTTCGATAAAAAATGGCCGTCAAAAAAAAAAAAAAAAAAAAAAAAAAACAATCTGCGGGGCAGATGGCGTCCGTTGAAGCCCAGCCATTTAACAACTACTGACAACTATTGTTTTGTTGTTTGAGATAATGTGAAAGGTCATGGGACTTCAACGTTTTTCATAGTTCGCTAAGGAGAGACATCCGTATCACATGATCATTCAACCTCCCAGTCTGCGAAGATATCATGCTTTTTGAAATGGTTTTTATTTTTATTTTTGTGAGGTTGGACTAAGGAGTAGAGAGTATATTGTATATCTGGGCTGGTCGTAGAAGCAAAATGTAAATCCATTATGTGCGATCAAGACAGCTGTCAAAGGAGACCGACCGACCAACAAATAAAATTATTCTAAACAACAAAATAAATTATCTTTTTTTCTATTTAATACTGAACTTGTCTTTTCTTTTAGTAGCCCTCGCAATTGCATAGAAATCATGACCACGCACTATATTCGAGGTTATCTATAAAAGAAAAGCCTCTTCAAAAAAGTCTTTTACTGTTCATGCTGTAGATAGAATGAACGCGAGTTTTTCAATTGCCTTGCTCAATAGTCTAATTCAGGAATACCGATGGCGTTGGCGAACTAGTACGGAGCCCTGTAAAAGATGAAATTTCACTCATCTCTCGAATCCTGATTTGCCTGTCTCATCAAATCGGGCTTCAACGCCAATACGATGAGATAACAAGACGACATGGGCATTTGTGATGTTCGCTCGAATCACAAAATCAGTCAGAAGGTTATTCAGCGAATTAAAATTAATATTAGAATTAACCTGGAGCCACGGATAATCCTGACGAAAGCAAGTTTGGAGTTTGCCGCAGCTGTCACGGAACTTTGTCGCGGCACTATAGATATGTGACCTTCCTGAACCTGTTCCTTTAGAAAAACGGAGCCAAGCCCTGTTGATATATGTAGTTAGTTATATATGTATGTGCAGATGAATAGCGTCAAAGAATCTATGGGGACCTCAGCGGATCCAATATCAGGTACTTTACTTGCAATAACTCATCATGTATATACACTAGTCCTGTCGACAGTGACTGGTGGATAAGTATGCCCATTAGGAAAGAACAATTTTCCATTCGCAGCATTTGTGGAGCTTCTTTTGAATGAATGCTTGCTGTCAATGACGTTTCGTGATTTGCGGCGGGTGCCATTCACGATCTCACTAAACTCTGGCAAGCTTTTAGCAGCAACAATGGTCTTCAATTGAGGGTGCCTACTTGAACAATCATTTTCATCGGGTAGACCATATACTCAGGGTTACGTGTGCAGCCATAATTATCATTGGACCACACCAAACACTGACGATGATTTCGGGCAGTTAAAGGACAACCCCAACGCCGAAAAAGATCTCATTCTTGAAGTGAGAGAAATCTACGCAGGTCTGGTCATGGCGGGAAAAAAATGGCATCGAAATCACTAGGAATATCTCGCAAATGGGCCAAAGGACAGTACTATTGCAAGAACCGTGGAAAGCCGTCACCTCGTTACACCAAGCACTCCTCTATGAACATTGATAAACCTCGTAGCATCCGCTGCCAACACCTGGGCATTGAGTAGGCCTTCTATGTCATGTAGCCTTCAGCAGCTTCGAGAAATCGCTCGATCTCTACTCGGTGATGGGTTTTGTCATTGAAATTAGACCGGCGCTCGAGTCGAGGAACCTAGTATGAACACCCGAGCTTCATGACAAGATTGATAGATCATCATGGACAGAACAATGTATTGTATGATGCTGATAGATTTCGACTCAACATGCGGTATCCAATTAACTTGGCAAATCGGACTTTCTTAACTCTACAGCGACACGCCCGATGTGAACCTTACCCACTTGAAAAGTGCCGAGCTGCACTCAAGCCTCGGAATTCCGGCAAAACTACCAATATTCAAAAAATTGTTCGCTTTGCATTTTGCCTTTTTCGTCTTTCCAATCAGGAGCAGGCGTTTTCCTCTCTGCAAACACATACACAAACGCACACACGAAGTCACCTACATCAAAATGTCTGTCGACCCCTCACTCCAAACTTTTCTCGCGTATCAGCACGGCGACGCACACACTCTCGAAACGACCGTGAAACAAGTTCAGCGCTTGGATGCCCTCGACAAGCTCAATATCGAGTTGTTCAAAGAGAGCGGATCAGATTATTATGTGATCGTCACAAGGGCAACGATCTTCCATCCGCAAGGAGGTGGTCAGCCTTCAGACACCGGTATCATGCAAAGTCCATCGGGAATTTTCAGGGTATGCGCCGTTCGGGTGGACGTTGTCAATCATGGTCGTGTACTTCATTTTGGCCATTTCGACGAAAAATCAGCCGGATTTGCCGAGGGCGATATTATCCTGCAAACAATCGATATTGAGAAACGCCTGTTCTATTCACGCCTCCATACCGCCGGCCACGTCCTCGGCGCTTCGGTCCGACATCTGCTTGAACATGAAATCCCAGACTTTGACGAACTAAAAGCGTCCCATTTCCCTGATTCGGCATCCTGCGAGTTCCAAGGTTTTATCGAGGCGAAATGGAAAGAACCAATCCAGGCCAGACTTGATAAATACGTGGCAAAGAAAGCTGACGTCCGTGTCGAGTGGTGGAGCGAGGAAGAACTCCGAAGTCGAGGTTTGGAACGACTGATTCCCGATCGTCGTCTGATTCCTGCGGGAGAAAAGATTCGAGTGGTTAATATCGTCGGGTTGGAGACATATCCTTGTGGAGGAACCCATGTCGCGACAACAGACTTGTGCGGCCCTGTAACGGTGAGACGGATCTCGAGGAAACAGGGGATTTCTCGAGTTAGCTATCATTTGCCATGATAGAGGATAGTACTTACAGTGTTATGGCGGTGATCATGTATTCATGCGCTATCTTCATAAATTGAAGTTGGTATGTTGAAGCACAGGTTTTCCAACAGGCAAGCCATCAAGATACGTGTATAGCTTTCCATAATAATTCTTTATTATCCTAGATATTTTAATAATGACCATGAAGCCGGTTCGAATCTAAAGCAGAACTGGAATAGGCAATCTGATAGGTTCGCTACAGGAGTTTTGAGGATTGCTCGCACGATCCCTTGGTGTTATTCACTTATGTAGGGCGTCAAAGTTTCCCGCAATATCCCTGCTCTTCTTTAGGAAGGCCAAGGCGATTGCTGGTCATGAAAAATCGTACCGATTGAAGCTATAAGTGGAGGACCGATATTAGGTTCCGGCAGGCGGGTCCTCAAAGCCACGGAAAGCGACGGCCAATCAAAGTGAGAAGTCGGAGTTACTTGCACTCTCACGTCTGGTAAGCGAGAGCCTACCACGCCAAAATGGCGAATCGCCGAGCGGCGCAAAAAAAAAAAAAAAAGTGAACTTGGATGCCGGGAAACCCCTCCAAAGAAAAGGCCCAGGATGCGTATAGCTCATGGTGACCTTTTAGCGCTGTATTTACCACCCGTCTGGTCGATCTGCAACATACTTAATGAGACCACAACTGTCTGTCCAGAATTATAGGCATATTCATAATCCTCTACAATTTGAACAAGTCGTGGCTCAATTTAGTCCCAGCATTTCGTTCCAAGTTTGCGTAAAGTCAGGTGACCATGATCTCCACTGTGGCGATCCGTCGCGCCATTCAAGCAGTGACCCCTCCAAAACTTCATGGGTCGAGTATAGGCGACCACTACCGGTATCTTGAAAAACGTCCTCAGCGCAACTAGACAGACATACAGTCTGCCTGGTCGTTTGTCGTTGTGAGACCAAGCAGGAGACCACTCCGGCGCATTCAACGATGGGGAATCGATCAAAGCGGGGACCAATAACTTGTTCGGGGTCAGCAGTGCAAGTCCTGCTAATTTCGCGACCGTGCAACTGACAACGTGCAGATGTTGGACCTGCAAAGCGCGGAAAGTCAAGTGCGATGAGAAGCCTGGCGGTTGTCGCGCATGCGCAAGGATAGGCGTCACTTGCGGTGGTTATAAGATCAAGTTGCGTTGGGTCTATTCCGAGGCAGACGAAAGGGCCAGGGGAGGTAAGGTCGAACGCACGGGTAGGAGGAGAATAAGTTCAGGTCGGTCTTCATTGCTTTAATTGGATGCATCTGCTGATTCTCAGACAAGGCCCTGAAAGCACTTTAAATTTCGATGATGAAGAAATTGACCACTTTTTATCCGAAATTGAAAATGCTTCTTCCATACGACTTTCCTCCGTCTGTGGTCCCTTTGCGATATTCACAGCGACTTGCCATAAGAGCGAACAAGCTTCAATTTCTGAACTGCCGTCGCCGGAGCCCGATTCTGACGAATCTAACGCTTTGGAGTGTAATGGGCAAACCCTTAACCAGGATAATGATTTGGCTATTGTACAGTCGCCTCATCGGCAACAGTTTGATGCCTTGGATTCCCTGTCTAGTGTGGTCCAGAACAATTCCCACGATGCTGCCCTTGATTTGATTAGAGAACCAGCGCAAGAGCTCATCCAAGTTTCCGAGAACGCAAACATTGGCTCTGAGCAATGCCATGGTCACCATATAACCTCCACGCCTTTTACTTCTTCGCGGTTTATACCTTTCCTATGCCGTCAGCCACAACAGCACATGTCAGACTACCCGGAAACAGATGCTCTTTTGCACCACTATTCGGCAAATGTTTCCGATATTCTTCAACCCCTGTTCCACCCTGACAACCCTTATCGCTCAATTTACGTCCCCGCGGCGCTAGAGGGTCTCTTTGGTTCGGAATCCACCATCAAAGTTGCCGTTCCAAATGTTAAACGATGCATATTCCACTCTCTCATCGCCACTGCTGCATTCCACCTTAGTGGCTGTAATTCGGCTCCAAAATACCATAAGATCGGTATTCGACATCAAGACGGAATTGGTTCTCATCTTGAGCAGTGCGTGAGCTGATGGACCGATTGGTGTCGGAGAACTCGAGATATGCCTGATCCTATATACCCCACCCAGCTGACGGAACAACGTACGATTAACCATCCGAGCTCGCTTGGCTGAATGGAGGGTATTAAAACATTTTTGCCAAGGATACGCCAAGAACTCCCAATGCAATGCTATTACGGGAATTGATGGTTACCTATGAATGCAATCGTTTAAATGAGGTTAATGATACGAATACGTCCCTCCGAGTGACTTGTCATAGACTCATGCACTTAATGCACGAGGTCAAAGCACCTGAAGGGTCTTGGAAGTCCGAACTACACCCGGATATACGAATCCCTATACGAAGATACAATCCTTGCCTAGTCTTCCTGCTTGCCCATATTTGCACTTACAAAGTGCGTCTGATATCACGGTTTAGGCACCGGTTAATTCTCTCGTATATAAAGAATCTACGCCCGATCTACTCCGACTTCGAAGAATAGGGGGCATTTCTGACTTGGCAACTCCAACATGCGTTAGATGATTTCTTGATCTTGCGTAAACCATCAGGGGCATCTTTCAGTAATAATATTGGCTAGTTTCAAATTACGCAGTAGCAATGAATCGGTCAATGATGTACCAACACGGAGGGTGACTGGTCATAGCCTCGTATTCGTATGCATTTCCATATACAAAGGCTGAAATCCTGTTTGATATGGCGAACAGTGCTTTCATTGAGGGCCGATCACTAACGGTTGCTACAGAGTACTTGGAGTAGGCTGAAATCCCCAGCAAATGAAGTCTTATAACCAACCTGCCATGCTGTCTTTCTTTTCTGCTAAGAGACAGGCTAAGCATCATGTTACCGAAACTCTTCCAATACTTGGCTGTGGTAGCAGCCCTACCAATTGTCTCAACGACTGTATCCTCAAATAACAGCGATGGAAACTTCACAAACCCTTCTGCTCAAGCTCGGCCATTCTTCAGGTACTGGCTACCAGACGCTAGTGTTGATCCAACAGTCGTAGCCTCTGATATCCGCTCCGCCGCGGACGTTGGCGCCGGAGGCATCGAGTTCGTCGCTTACTTCGGGTACGGAGGTGAGATTGGAGGAAGCCCGCCCGGGTCGGACTGGGTGACATATGGGTTCGGTAGTGCGCCGTTCCAGCATCTGTTGCAGGTAGCTTTGGAAGCTGCTAAGGAGAAAGGCATACTTGTGGATGTTGCATTAGGACCGAACCAAGGGCAGGGGGTGCCTGCGTCTTCGGATGATGATGGGATCCAATGGGATTTGGTAAGCGCAGTGTAACCTAGCCCTTGCATCTTTTCAATTGCTAATTTTGTTCGTGATAGGTGCCATTCGTCCAAAGAGTACCAGCCAATCAGACAAGTGTGCGTATCCCAGGATGGGGTGAAGGGGAAATAGTCTCCTGTGTCCTTGCTTCGGTAAACAGGAAGACAAACGTGTCCCTAGCTGGTGAATCTGGAACCTTCAGCGCCATACCGCCGCAGGGTTCATACCTCGAGTTGGTCCTAGACGAGACGTCCCTACAAGACATGACACACGATGTCTCGTCAGATGGAATCTTAGCAATACCGTCGTCGTGCTCGTCACGCTATCTCTATATGTTCTCGTTCTATCAGAGGAGGAGCTTACATAAAGCCCTCGAGGTAAGGTCTAACAGAACGGACACGATCCTTGCCAATGGCTCGTTTGTGGTGGACCATTTCAGCAAGCAGGGAGCCAGAACAATGATCAATTACTGGGATAATCAAATCCTTACGGAGGAGATACGAAAACTCCTAGGGGATGTGGGAAACTATGGTATGTTTTGTAGACCCTTTAACGAAGAAGCCATGTTTACCACAATTCCTAGGCTGGGAGGACAGCATGGAATTTCGGTGCAACATATCTTGGACACCAAACTTGCCGAATGCGTTCTACGACAAGTTTGGATACTCCCTCGGGAAATATCTACCACTCCTCATGTTCGGTCAGAACAATATAATGGCGCAAGCCAGTAACCCTGGGTTGGTGAAGGCAGTCTTCAAGAATTACCATACCACCGAAAAACATATCAACGACTATCGCTCCGTGCTAGCAGATGGGTATGGGAGTTACTTGGCCACGTTACGAGGCTGGCTGAACCAGGGTCTGGGACTCCAATACTCAGCACAGGTCTCGTATAACCTGCCTCTAGACGCATTGACGAACGTTCCTTTGGTAGATGCCCCGGAGTGCGAGAGCCTGCAGTGGAGAAACAATATCGACGGGTACCGACAGTTCACCGGTGCTGCATATCTAGCCGGGAAAAATGTCGTATCGAACGAGATGGGAGCTTTTATGTCCCGCGCATACTCTCTGACAATACCAGAGTTGCTGAACAGCGTGAACAAAGCTTTCGCGGGAGGTATTAATAGGGTCGTTCTGCATGGCCAGCCGTATAGTGGGGACTATTACGGCACTACCTGGCCGGGAAGCACGCCCTTCCAATATTTATTCGCCGATATGTATTCCCCGAAGCAGCCTTCGTGGATGCATGGGTTTGATGAGGCCAAGGGCTACATATCCAGGGTGCAGTTTATACAGCGACAAGGAATTCCGAGATTTGATGTAGCTTTTATCAACAAAGATTCCGCTACAGACCCCTATTGGGCTGCAAAATACAGCCAGGATGACCTTCTTGACACTGGTATGGGGTCCTGTTCCAATGACTCGAATCTTCGCCGACTAATATTCGTCCAGGTTTTATATACACATATCTTTCTCCCGATAACCTCGACTTCCCGAAAGCCTCTGTCGACAATGGCATGTTTGCTATGCAGGGCCCTGCCATCAAAGCAATCGTCGTCACATACGATGCGAGTATGACTGTATCCGCTGTCCGGAGGCTAAAGGACTACGCTACGAAGGGATTGCCCATCATTCTTTCCGGTGGTAGCGCAAAGTATTACCCAACCTCCAATGATGGGGGATTTGAGGCATTTAGGGCAGGTCTTCAGGAACTGGCCAATGCAACGAGTGTCCGGACCACAAGGAGTGGCGATGTTGCGAAAGCTCTCGTCTCGCATGGCGTCTCTCCTCGTGTCAGTGTCCAGACAAACGGTACGTGGCATATAACTTGGCGCGAGGACAAGGAAGCCCAAGTGGACTATGCCTTCATCTTTTGTGATGGAGGTGGCTCTCAAGGTGAAATCAGAGTCACAACCGACAAGATCCCTTATTCCTTCAATGCCTGGACTGGAGAACGCCAACCACTAGTGCAGTACAAGGGTCGGGCTGGTGGCATTCTCATCCCCCTGACGCTGAAAGCCAACCAAACCACTATACTAGCATTCAGCACCCAACCCTTGGACGGCATATACACACCCTCTATTCATGTCGAGTCTGCTCCCAACTCAGTCCTTGGCTACCACCTTGACCACGAAGGTGGAGCCGTTGCCCATCTGGCTCACACTGCCAACAAGACAGCTCACGAATTAGTACTGTCCGACAACTCGACTAGAACCGTTCCAAACACATCGGCTATCTCAAGCTCATTCCTGATTCGAAACTGGACACTCACGGTAGAGCGCTGGGAAGCCCCTGGGAACATGCAAAACGCCTCCATGATAGCATCAGCCCGCAATACAACGCACCATCTTCCCTCTTTACTTTCATGGACGGAGATTCCCGGCCTCATCAACGCCTCTGGAATCGGGTATTACAGGTCCCGATTCACTTGGCATGCCGACTACCAAAACCAGTTTGGAGCTTATATTACGTTCTCCCGTATCCTCCACGCAGTTCAAGTCTTCGTAAACCGGAAAAAGATCCCACCCATCGACCCAACTACAGGAACTGCTGATATCGGAGCCTATCTGCGGGATGGCGAGAATGAGCTGTTGGTTGTGGTTCCGACCACGATGTGGAATTATCTAAAGAGCATCTTCCCTAAGATTACCGAGTCGGGCGCGCCTCCGTTGTTAAGTCGCTTAGCTGCCCTAGTTGGCTTGCCTAATATCGTTCCCAATGGGTTGGTGGGTGAGGTTTCTATTACGCCATACTTGTCGTTTGCGCTTGATATATAAACTCGCTATGTGTTGAAATATATGTCTAGACAGTGGTATCTTGGCAAGAAGCGTATGTCAATGAACGAGGTGTTTTAATTCTGATTCTCTGAAGGTGTAAATCTACAGCTATTTGTAGCAGTAAAATTACATTAAGCGAGAGTGCGATGGATCTGCAAGAGTTCAATGTTACAGAGCATCCAATAAACACTACAGGGCTGCTGCGCACGAATCCGGAATTGAGGCCTCAGGCTTGCTGATCCAATATCTCAACACTATGTTGCAGACATACCGATTACTTCAGTTTGAATACAGTTTCAAGAAGTGATGATGTACGCTGTTCTGTTGTTCACTTATAAAGAGGAACCGAGCATGAGCCACGAACTACTGAAAGTGGTATATATGAATAGAAGAATTGGAAATGTCTATCTTGTGGAGATTTGAAAGTATTTGCAATTATAGGTCAATCTTCTGGCCCTGAGTTACTACATGGTTCCATAGAATTCTGTGATAGAGCAGCAAGCGCTTAGAAGTACTTATGCAGTTTGTGTGACCAGAGAGATTTATAAAAAGCTGAGCGAAACTATACATATCTACGGCGTCTTCATAATTCTTTGCTGCTCCAACTGAATTAACATCATAGCGTCTTTTCTTCTCGCCGGATCTGCCTCGATTTCAAAGTTGTTAGAATTGATACTAATAACACGTAAAAACGGGTTCAAATTGCCGCTCCAAAGCCACTTGCAGCTTCGACCCACGGTCTGTTTACTATGAAACCCGCAATTGGGGCAACATGGTAGAGACCAGACACTCCGGACATGTTTTATCGCTTTTGTTACGATCCCATAACTCGGAGAGACTGCCTTAGATATGAGGGTAAAGGTTCAGAAACATGTTTTCTAATCGGAAAAAATGGGCTGATAATAATTATGCTGTTAGTTGATAGAGCTTTCATGCTCTTGGGGTAATTGTGACTAAGCACTCACCTCCACCCCTCCAGGGTGTAGGTGAGCCCACACTGGTTAACAAACCCACACCTATTAACAAAATATCGTTATTTCAATTTCAAACCTATTTTTCACCACCAAAACTATGCCGATTTCCTCCGAAAAAGAAGAGATCCTTCTCTCAAATGCCCTCGAAGCCTATAAATCAGGTCACTTTACCAGTATTCCGGCCGCAGCCTCTCATTTTGGCGTCTCGAAGTGGAAGCTTCGGTACCGAAAGGAAGGCAGGGCAAATGGAAAAGGCCGTGCAGCCACCAAAAAAGCCCTAAATTCCTCACAAGAAGCCTCTCTTATTCGCTGGATTGAGCACCTTAATTCAGTATATACACCACCAAATGCTAGTGATATTGAGGGTGCTGCAAATCGTATTTTACGATATTGTGGTTAGACCTCGCCACAACCGGTTCATGGGTAGGCAAATCCCAACCGCACCCCCCAACCGCGCTAATTATACTTAGGCAGAATGCCAACCGCACCGCACCGCAAACCCGCATGGTTATACCGCGGTCAACCGCAGAAAAACCGTACTGCATAACTGACCTAATTAGGCCATGCCAAGCTGCATAAACTTGCTGATTCATATTAACAAATTACCGTTATCTACAACTGTTTTGGTTTGTAAGGGTCAACACAATATTTCCGGTGATATTCATATATCATCGCAAGAAAATTTTAGGAAAATTGGTTGTATCGAGTAGAACGTGAGTTTGAGATTGCATCTTACCAGTCTTTAAGCGATCCAAATGTCGCGGTGGGCGGTGGTGGCAGGAATCGTCGATAACATGTTATTTGGTAGTAGAAATATATGTCGGATTGACGGATACTGGTATGTGCTAGTATTGAGGTGTCCCATTGAGATGCATTGATTGTTCTATCTGGATCTTGCTGTTGAAGTGTTATCAGATCTCAGGAGTCGTTCCTAGCGTGTTACAACGCTGGTATGCCGAGCGTACCCCGTTTACCATACAGAGACAAAGAGGGAATGGGTACTTGATGAATAACCCTGTTCTTAGTGGTAAAATACCACCCCTCAGTTCGACACACCCCCTCAGCGAGTGCCCTTTCTGCTCTTGCAGATGTGTGCGTTAGACCTCGCCCATCACCAGATGTTGCCGTATATCCTCCATACCCATCGATTGCATGAAACCGAGATGCTTTTGGCGGGGTAGTAGCTTTGTGAGACCATCAGCTATCATATCGGCGGTTCTCACCCAGTGTACGTTGATGCGCTTGCTCTGAACTTCTTGCCGAAGCCAGTGCTGGTGTATGTCAACATGGCGGAGCTTCGTGCGCAGTTGAGGTGTTTCTTTTTCGAGAATCCCGATAGTCTGTTGGTTGTCGCATTTGATGCTTAGCTCGTGCTCAGGGTCGAAGCGTATTGCTTTGAATAGCCGTTTCCACATGGCCACGGTCCTGGCAGCTTCTGAAATCGAGAGGAGCTCAGCTTCGGTTGTACTGGTAGTCACCGTACGCTGCTTGCTGGCCTTCCAATCGACAGGGCCTCCAAACATCATACATGTGTATCCTTCAGAGCTTTTCTGATCAGGATTATCGGCGAATGAGGCGTCGCTAAAGAACTGAACTGCCTCTGGTATCTGACTATTTTTCTGTGATCGATCGCGCGCTCTGTACGCGATTGCCGATGTCCGAGTGTTGTAAAGGTACGAGATGACTCTATTGATCGCATCAAGGTGCTGGGGACCGGGATTTGTGAGGAATTGAGCGAGTGTAGCCGTCGCTTTCGCCGAGTCCGGTCTAGTGATTGTCGTTGCATATTGGGCTGAGCCAACCTTCTCCTGGTACTCGTGAATGTGTTGAGGGGTCGCCTGGCCGTCAAATGGCTTGAGTGAGTAACTAGGAAGTGGTGTATCGTATCTGCGAGATCCGGTGAGATGGTAACGGTGAGCCATCGAGGATATATATGAATCCTGACAGAGCCAGAGGGCCATCTGTTGTCTGTCACGGATAATGCGTATCCCGAGGAACCACTGCGCCTCTCCCATATCTCGAAGCTCCCAGTGTTTGCTGAGCTGTTCTCTTAGGTTTTCGGCTGCCGTATGCTTTGAAGCATGGTTTACGATGATGATATCGTCAACATAGAAGAATACGATGATGCCGTCCGCTGCAAAGAGGCAGATATCTTCCTGTACTACCTGCAAGCCTAGAGATGTGAAGATCTTAGACGCTTCTCGTTGCCATAGGCGTGGAGATTTCCGTAGGCCGTAAAGAGCTCTAAGAAGCTTCCAGCACTTGGTTTTGCCATCTTTGTCAAATCCTGGTGGTAATGAGACGTATACAATCTCATCTAGTAGGCTGTTGAGGAATGCGTTGACAGCATCGTATTGGCGTGTGTCCAGATCGAATGCAGCGACCAGGGCGAACACAGCACGTGCGGTTCGGACTGCGAGAGTAGCTGAGTACTTTTCTTCTGCCGTCATCCGTTGGAGATCTCCTCGTACGCACAGCCTCGCTTTCAGCTTGCTCAGGAACCCATTGCTATCAAATTTATAAGTGAAGACCCATTTGAGAGGTAGGATCTGAATGCTGCGGTCTGTTGGACGCTGTACTACCTCGAAGGTGCTTTTGCGAGTGAGTGTGTCAACTTCAAGGCCTGCAGCGGCAAGAAACCCCTTGTGATATTGATGGTTGATCATCTCCTTCCAGTTCTGAGGCTCTGAAGGCAGATCATCGCGGTGCACGAGGTTATGAAGGTGAGGAGCGTTTAGTCCTGTTGCGAACGCTGCTAAGACACCTTCATGATAGTCTTCTGGCTCTTCTAGCACGGCGGTAAATGCCTGGTCCACTGGTTTCCTGTTCCGTGCTCCAGTGACGATGTTTTGATCCGATACATCTCCCACGATATCTCTTGGTGCTCTTGAACGTGCTGTCTCACGTTGAGCGGGCCCTCGATCCCCGGGAAATGCTCCTTGAGATGATTGCTGCGCCTGAGGCGCCGGCAGAAGCTGTGGCTCTGCCGAGGGCGTTAGAGACGGTGTGACCGTCTGTTGAGGTTGGCCCGGTGACTTCGGTGGTTCAAAGGTATTTTCCTGGCGTTGAACGTCCGGTATGGCCTCTGGCGACTGCTGAGTGCTTTTACTAGCTGGCTCGTTTGTTTCTGGCTGATTGACAAGCTGTGTGAGCTGCTCGATATCCTCATGCTCGTCTTCACCGATTTCCCATGGCATAGCTTCGATTACGTCGCTAATAGGTGGCTTTTCTAGTTCTTTGGGGTCATATCGTAGATTCTCATCGAATACTACGTCCCTGACTTCTCGCACGGCTCCTCTGTGCGGAAACCACACTCGCCAGATGTTCGAGGCTGTGTAGCCTACTAAATATCCGATATCCGCGCGCGGCTCCATCTTGTGGCTCTTTGGAATACCCTGGCGGCGCACGTAAGCGCGGCATCCGTATAGCCGCAGATTTGAGAGGTTGATGCGCTGTTTTGGCTGTGCGTGGTCGATTCCTGTTGCCTCAGCGTATGGAATAATCCACTGACCGTTTGGAAGCTTAGTGGGCGATCTGTTGATGATGTATATAGCTGCTTTGACGGCTTCTGACCAGAGAGCCTTCGGAAGGCCTGCTTCTAGCAGTAAGGCTCGTGCCCTCGCAATTATCACCCCCCCCAGATCGTTCACTGAAGCTGTTCATCTCTGGTGTGCCCACCACACTGTGTTCCACGATGAAGCCACATTCACGAAGGAAATCTTCTACCGTGCGGCCGGCAGCGCGCTCGTTATCATAGCGAAAGGCTCGAATTGGCAGCTTCAATTGTGTTATTGCGAACGCGACAAAATGCTTGACTGCATCCTGACAACCACTCTTCTTCTCGTGTGTAGAGGCGGCATGTAAGCGTATCCCTTCGACGTAGAAGTGTGTCATCCACTTATCATCGTTGTATGCTGTCTCGATCCGCACAAGGTCAAAGTGAATTCGACCATATCTGCCGTACTTGGTTCCATGAACTCTTCTCGAGATTTGGCGCTTTGCGCTAGTCATTTGACAGACTTCACATCTCTCAGGATTGCTGATAGCATTATCGATATGTTGACCAGTGATCTTGATTCCATCAACGAGTTCTGCAAGTTTCTGGATACGCTGATCATACATATGACCTAGGCGTTGATGCCAACGCTCGGCCGTGGCTGAGGATATTAGTGGTTTTTGTGAATGCTTGACTGTCGCGAACCCAGCCGGAATTGGCCGGTATTCGAGTACGTATAGCCCACATTTCTCCTCGAGCTTTGCAATAGGCTGACCGCAGTGAACGAGTGCTAGTAACTCGATGTTCATGATGAATCCCTTGCTCTTCAGTCTCGACGCGGATAGTAGGTTCGTGTGGAATCCTGGCGAATACCGTACGTCCGAGACCTCTCCGATAGAGGTCTTTCCGGTCTCGGGGTCTGTGAGGTTCACTCTCACCGTTCCAAAGCCTTGAATTCTTGTAGAAGCGTCTCCGGTGATGACAGTGTAGTCAGCAGGAGTGAATGAGACGAATCTCTCGCGATCGTTGCTGATGTGAGTATTCGCGCCGGTATCAACGATCCAGCTACTCTTTAGCGGAAACTCATCACCCTCTTGCGCCGCTTGTACCGCAAGATCATGCGAAAACATAGAGATGATCTGTGCGATCGACCGTTGATCTTCTGAGGCTGCAAACTGAGCTGACTCGGTCTTGGTTAGCTTTGCGATGGCTTCCTGGTCCTGGAGACTCATCCTCTTGATGAATTCAGGGATTTTCTTCTCCACAGCTTCGTTCGGGTTCCAGCCTTCTGGCCTCAGCGATTTGTTGAGATAGTAGCACTGCTGATACGTATGGGCGCCATTACCACACGGGCACCGTGTACGGTACGTTTTCTCCGGTGGTTTGGACTTATTTTGACCAAGTCTCGCCTCATGCTGACCATCTAGCGTGGCAAGTGCAACCTTCGACGATCCCTTCTTCGCTGACTGTCCAAGAGCCTTACGACGTGATCGGTATGAGGAGATAACGTCATGGAAGGATATATCGTGTATGAGGATTTTCTCCTGCCACGCGGTACAGAATACGTCATCTATAGGCTGAATAGCGCGCAGGAAGTCTCGGATAGCGTACTTGACATTGTATACCACATCAGGTACATCTGCACACTTTGCTTCCTCATATAGACTCGTCCATAGACTCGTCCACTGAGTGAGCCAGTGATCTGTATTGACGTTATTCGCTGGTTGTTTGATCATGGCTCTCCACGCAACTCGAAGCTCTTCGGTCCGGGTCTCTGGCTTTGGCTTGAATTCACGAGCTAGCCTGACAAGCTTCTGATGCGGCGAAACCTCATCGACAGTGAGATAGTGATACTCGGTTGCGAGAGAACGTGTGATTAGACTGTTCATGCGTGCCATCACCTTCAGCAGACGCACCCGTTGACTCTCACGCCTATCGTAGGCTTGAATGCGTCGAGTCCACTGGGTAAATTCCTTCTCTGTGAGTTCAAACTCATCCTCCACGTCTTCGCGAATACTGCTAGGTTGAGGCTCTTGGGCGGCCTCCGGAACCTGTCGTACGCTCTCTTCGGAAAGATCTGGATTCAAGTATTCCCACACATCTTCGGAGATAGCTGCTGATCGTATATGGCCTATCCAGACTCTCCATTGACCTTCCGACCGTAGTCGCTGGTCCTGAGGCACTGCCCTCAGTTCTTCTGAGTAGAGGCTTTCTGACATCCTTATACTGCTTTCCCTATTATATCCTATCGTTCGGTTCGCAATCGGTCGTCGGCAACGCTCGCATGTGCCGTTTTTGGGGTGACCGGGCGATTCAGGGGTATCCGAGATCTGCGGAAGATTATACGCGCTGCTAAGATATAGAGCAGAGAGGTCTGATATATCTTAATGGATATCGCAACGGGCAATCGGGCTCATAACTGTCGGATTGACGGATACTGGTATGTGCCAGTATTGAGGTGTCCCATTGAGATGCCTTGATTGTTCTATCTGGATCTTGCTGTTGAAGTGTTATCAGATCTCAGGAGTCGTTCCTAGCGTGTTACAACGCTGGTATGCCGAGCGTACCCCGTTTACCATACAGAGACAAAGAGGGAATGGGTACTTGATGAATAACCCTGTTCTTAGTGGTAAAATACCACCCCTCAGTTCGACAAAATCTTAAGAGGCCATTGCTAGGCCTCGCCAAAACCCGCCCACCGCCCAAACCCGCCCGCGAAAACCCAGCCCATGGGCCGGGTTGGGTCTTAGTCAGCAAACCCGGGGGCGGGTTGTCATCCGGGAAACCCAACCCAAGACCCAAATGGGTACCCGCGATTACCCAAAAAAAGCAAAAAAAGCTGACTGATCATTTTACACTAAGTTATGCAGTAATTTTCGATTATCTAATTGTTTCGATGGCGTAACTACTAGCTTCTAGCTGAGAATATTTGGAAAGGAACATGAAGGGCTTGTAAAAATCAAATTGGCTAATTATTAAAGACTAGTATACCTCGTAACCTCGCAGTCTGCTGGAGGGCATTGTTACCCGACCAGAAGATCTCTTCTGGCTTCTATCACTCAATTGCATGATTGGAGGCGGAAGTAAATCTGCTTCGTCGTAATCAACCACGTCTTCCTCCATACTCTCTTCTTCTTGTTCAGGTTCGTGAATATGTCTGTGTATAGAGCTCCGGCCGGTCTCTACCACCGTACACTCCACTTGGTATGTCCCCTCTGGCTCAGAGTTACCCTCGAGATTCTCGCTCTCTTCAATCTCCTCATTGTCGCTGATCGGCTCTGCATCCTCTTCGATTGCCTTCAACGCTTCATCCTCTTCAAGTGCCTCTTGGCTCTCGCTCTCCAACGGTTTCTCCAGACGAATCAATTGCTGTCCCTCTAGTGTGAGCTTTTCTGAGCACATGTACATCATCAAGTCTTGAATAGTCCCTTCGTGAAGAGACCCTCGGCGATAATGACAAATGTCTCGTGCGCTATTGAAGAGCCTTTCTACACCCGCGCCGGTGGCAGGGACTGAAAGCAAGTCTCGTGCGAGCCGAGACAGCACTGGGAATTCGCGCTCGTGTTCTTTCCAATAAAGTCGCGGCGACACAGGGACATTGGCTATTCGAGGTCAGTCAGTTGTTCTAGTGTGTTGTACTGATTGCTCGTGCCTTCGCGAAGATACTGGTCCACTTCGTCATACTCTACTCCTTCATGGAAAATCGCTGCACCAGGTGGCTCGAGTAGCCGATCAAGCTCTGTGCTATGCGAATTGGAAGATCGCTGGACCGTACGGAATAGCAACTCGGGGTTCTGCTGCTGATACTGTGTGAAAGATGCTCTCAAATATTCACAGTACCTTTTTGACGTATCTTCATGGCAAGTTGAGTACTCTCGATCATCAAAAGCACTCAGTTTATACTGAGGGGCAAGTAATGTTCCAGTGCCATAGAGAAAACCGTGGTCGCGGTAGGTTTTTTCGTAGTACTCTTTCAGCTTCTGCCTCGCCACAAGCAACGCGCCATACATGTCTTTCTTCCAGGGTGTTGTCTTTCTCTTCAATCTTCGATTCGACCGTTCGATATGCTCCAGTAGTTTCCTATACACAAGGAACACACTATGGATTGTGACGTCTCTGGTCTTCATCAGAGCCATGGTGAACTGAAAAAACGGTTTGGTCAAATGAACGAGGTAGTCAATTTGCCTCCATTCAACGTCGGTAACCTTGAGCTGCGAGTATTCATGATCGCAGCAGTATTTGTCGATTACATTTCTCAGCCGGCGTGCTCGGCGAAGCATCAAAAAAGTTGAATTCCAGCGTGTCTGAACGTCATGTAACGGAAAAAGCCGAGTACCACCTGATTGGAGGCATAAAAAAGCATCACGCCGTTGTGGGCTTGCGTTGACAAAGATCGCAAAGGATCGAATCTAATGCTGTCAGTGCTCTGAGTATATTGAAAAAGTGAATATCTTGGCTCACCTTTGTCAGTGTATGAGCCACGTCTCCATAGTTGATCGAATCCTTCAACCCGTGGGCTTGGGTGTCGGACCAAAAGGCTCTGACTTCTTTATTCTTAGGTGCTGCCCTGATATGTCCCAGTAGCTGTTTCAGGCAAAGCTGGATCACATGAGCCATGCAGGGAACCCGGACTATTGATTCCCTGGAGCTAATAGCTCCGATAGAGAGCAGTCTCTCTTGCAAGGCGCGTATCATGGTGTCGTTGTTGGTAGCGTTGTCTGTAGTAACGCTAAAAATACGATCGAGAAGTTTTCGTTCCTCCAGTAACCGGTGCAAAACATCACTAAGGTTGTTGCCTGTATGAGGACCGTGCAACGGCTCAAAGCCGAGGAGCATTTCCCTATAGTTCCAATCTTTGTCGATGAAATAAACCGTGATTGCCATGAATGCCTGCTGAAATGGACTGGTCCAACAATCTAAAGCGAGGGAAACCTTGGCATCTTCAGGCAGATCTTGTAACTGTAACTCTTGCTGGCAATTGACTGCATCCCGGAGCCGCCTCCGCAGGGTCTTCGCTGACGGAAGTTCCAATTCTCCGGGACCAGAATATAAAAGGCTGAGTAGCCTCTGAAACACCGGGTTCTCCACCGTCTGGAAAGGCAAACGAAGACACGTAATTGTCTTCAATATCTGCTCCTCGATTTGAAATGTTGTCACTCTGTGGACACTGGGTGAGTCTCTCGTGAAATGGTTCTGCAAAGAATCCGAAATCAATGACTGATTAAATCCCTTTTTCTTCCCTTTACGACAAGTATTAGACTTTTTGTGTCTACTCATGGCGCTTGTCCCATTCCCTTTATACTGTGGATGATCAAGCACAGTGAGACAAGCCTGGCAGATGACTCGAGGACGCCCAGAATCAATATCAGCCACCTGGTCAAAGTGTTTCCACACATCAGCGTGACGCGATCCGGTGGACCATTTGATCTGGGATTGGCCTTCTCCGTTCAGCTTTTGGCCGTATTCTGTTTCCTTCCACCATTCAAGAAACTCTGTCTCTAGATGCGACTCGTACGCAATCCATTTCTTTCTGTGCTGAGGTCCCACACGTCGGAGTGTCGCTGGAGGTCTTCGAGTAGTTATGTCGTACGTTTTGCGGGGTCCTGTCAAAGGCTGCGGTCCATCTTAGTATACAAGTAGGTAGCGCCGCAACACTCAGAGGCTAGTGGAAAGGACCATTTTCTTACGGGGGATTGAATGTCAGAATCCAAGAAGCCGTCAGATGACGGCTCAATGGAGAGCAGTGGACTGAAAGGCCGATGTATTGATCGCGATGATGAGGAAGAAGACGCCATACTGAAGTAAAAGGCCACTGGTATTGGAAGAAGGGGGGATTTTTTTCATCTTGAGTACTTGATTGTGGATTTTGTTCCAGTCGCGTCGTGCGTTTGGATCTATCTATTCCTGAGTCGCGTAAAACCCGCGGGTACCCAAAACCCAACCCAACCCAACCCGCCCGGAGATGAATACGACTTTGGGAGGACACTGAGAAGGTCCAAAACACTGATTTTAAATGATCGAACTAAGGATAATATTTTTGAGCTCACTCGAAAGATTCTCAATTGATGAATTTACATAAAATCATCAATGTGGCCTGTAATCCCTTCAGATGTGTAAAGCAGGGCGATGGGGGCAGTGATCTACATTTAGAGAATATATATTTCCAGGTCGATGGCGTTCATAGTTTCAGTGTAATATCCACTCAAAAGCGTTACAGAAATAAATGACCAAAATTACACCAGATGACTAATCAAGTTTATCCACGATTTATGCATGTTTTTGGGTATTTTGGGCAACCCGCGGGTACCCGCCAAGAGCCCATGGGCGGGTTCATCAAGGCCAAAACCCGCGGTGGGTTGCCCATGGGCGGGTAAGGAAATTGAAAACCCAACCCAAACCCGCGTTTGGCGAGGTCTAGCCATTGCACGGACTTGGAGATATTCATGCGTATTTAGATCCTATAGCAAAATAAACGAATTCCTCTATGTTGATTCAGCATTTAATGTTTCGAAAATCAGGAATCAGTGAGAATGAAACATTTTACGACAGTAAAAACCTTCTTCTCTTCTACCGACAATTTGACCTCTTGGTAAGCATTTTGCTGTACCTAGGATTATCCTACTCGAAAAGGACTTAAGTAATAATGTGGTGAATTTGGTAGATACGCAGGTGTATTTACCCAGAATACCTTGATATCTTACGATATCAATATCAGATCTACCTCACTTCGGAAGGGCATATCATTATATGCCATCATGTCCTACAAAATTGCCAATTTCATAGGTTCTTTTCCAGTTTGGGAGTCTGATATGACCATTCTGGAACCCATACATAATTGGTCACTGAACTGTATCACATGATCATGGCACCCGTCAATGAAAGTCGTCCGCCGGAGATCGGTAAACGTCATCCCCACAAGATAGCCCCCAACTGCACCTCCGACAACATCTTTCCAATCGTTATGGCTAATCACTCGTTGGTATCCGTGGTGGCCATACTTCTGGCAATCATCGCAATCTATTACCAGAAGTATTCGAGTACTTTTTATTTAAGTCACGACCCTAAGGTAGTGGACTCCGCACGAGACATCACTTATCTTGGCAGTCTATCCCCTGCTGGAATTGAACATTTCCAGAACATCTTCTACGCAGAGGAACCCACGGGGCTGCGACGTTTCGCAGCGCCGGTTCCAATGAGACCAGCGAATGGGTCAGTCATTGATACCACCAGGGCTGGTGCCTGGTGCCCGCAAGGAATGGGGGACATACTTCCGTTCACGAGTAGTGTGACCAATATTAGCGAAAACTGTCTGAGCTTGAGAATTGCGAGACTAGCACGTACGCAGAAAGATGCGAAGCTTCCGGTCGCGGTTTGGATCCATGGGGGTAAGTCCACCGTTTGTGAGCGCGTTGACTGCTGAAGGCCCTAATGAGTGCACAGGTGGCCATGCTTTGGGCTCTGCGTCCGATGTTCTCTACGAGCCTGACGGCTTGGTAAAGCTGGCTGCTGCTGATGGGTTGCCTCTGGTATACGTGGGCATAAATTACCGCCTGGGCTGTACGTCATTCACAAGGGTCCATGGAATTGTGCGCACAGGCTGTGGACTACTTACTAATTCCAGTTTAGTATTTGGCTTTGCAACTGGCGAAGCATTTATTGAGAGGAAAGACACAAATGCAGGGCTTCGGGATCAGCGTGCTGCTTTGGAGTGTATGTATCTCGGAGCTCTTCGATCTCACCACGAAACGCTGAAACATCGAGGAACCAGGGGTTCGTGATAACATTGAGTCATTTGGCGGTGACCCTAACAGAGGTATACTCAACTATCGTGTCCTGGATTCAAGAACCAATTTGCTGATAGCCTATGGTGTAGTGACTGTTATCGGCCAAAGCGTAGGGGCTAGTGACATTGGTCTGCAGCTAACTGCCTTCGACGGCCATCAAGCTGTTCCATTTCAGCAAGCGGTGTAGGTAGGCAAAGGCCTGAAACTGTCCAATGCTGATCCGCGGCCTTAGAATGATGTCTGGTGGTCCAGGGCTGAACTTCAACAGCCAGCCAGACCTGGTTGCGAGTCACACGGCTGCCATTGCACAACAAGTAGGATGCGGCGGTGGCAAAGATTCGCAGACACTGAAATGTCTTCAGAGTGTTCCATTTGAACAACTGACCAATCTATCCGTGGCTGCATCTCGGGCAGCCCGTCCACCTTTCGGCGAAGCGTATTTCTACCCAACGATCGACGATGACTTCATTCAAGATAGGCCCTCGGAGTTGACACGTGCAGCAAAGTTTGCCAAGGAAGTACCTATTATAGCCTCCTGGGTGTCAAATGATGGCGCCTGGTACGCACTGCCGTCAATTACAACGGACGACGAAGTTCTGGCGAGTTTTGGACTATGGCTGCACAAGATTTCTGGATCCACGAAAGAGAAACTCCTACAACTGTATCCTCTGGAGGACTTTGAACACATGATCAAATCAGAGCACGAGGGACGACTTTCTCCGCAGTACTATCGCGCTGCACAGCTGAACCGCGACATCTGGTTCACCTGCCCTGTCCTTGACTTTACGTGGCAGTACGTCAAAAATGGGGGCGTGAAAGCCTCCCAGGTGCGGCTATATGAATTCAACGAAACCAGATACATGCCAGTCTTCGATTCCATGGGTGTATCGATGTGGGGTGTCGCTCACCTCAGCGATATCCCCTACCTATTCTACAACGACCACCTAGGGGCTGGGGCAGATAACTCGGACGCACAGCTTGCGTTGGCTAGATATTTCAGCCGGAAGATTAATCGGTTCGTGCACGGAACTCCTGGAGGGGCGGACGATAGGTTTCACTCATGGCCGCCTGCCTTCTCGAAAGACTTTTCAAAAGCCTCAACGGGGGACGTACCTAGTCATATCTCAGTGCAGCTTTTTGGTGGCCCTCATAGCTCGGAGTCCATTACATGTAGCGAAGGATCTGGGGCCGACATGGGCATCATCACCGACGCAGAGAATGCGCTTCATTGGGAAAAGTTGTTCAGTCGGTGTGCTTTTCTCAATGGAGAGCAATTTAGAGAAGAAGCAGGGGTGTGAATGAAAGTCCCCATTGAGGTCTCTCTGATAACAATGGTGCCGTGCAAACTACCTACTGAAGTGGGAAGAGCGCGCTGGCGGTCTGACATCGCAGACAAGACGACAGGGGTGTTCAGTGCTCGGCGGGGATCATGGGGAGAGAAGCAGGCCGACTGTACGACCAAAGTAGGAAAATATGCTGTTTCTCAGGTATGTGTAGGATGCTTGATTTCTACACTGTACGATCGAGAGCTAAAACTGCCATTCTGGACACTGTGGCGCACCTGAGGATGTGGCGCGGTTTCCCCATTACACTACTTACTCGCGCTACTCCCGCAACCTAAGTAAACATCGGACATATATCAGTCAGTTCGTAATGAAGCTCTCACAATCACGTCACATTCCTCTCATGGGTGTGCTTCTACTTAATGGCGTTTTTGATGTAACCTAGTTATAAAATACATGGACGAGGTGTAGAAATGGCAAAATCTTCTCGTGCCAGGGCAAAAAAAAAATATTTCACGGAGTTTCCAAGCCACTTAGTAAGAGCTAACGTTGAGCGAATTGGACCCAAGAGGACCGATCTTGGGCAAGTTGAGACAAGGATTTCAGGGAGATCGCCATGAATTGAGGGATTTAATCGCTATATTTACTTTTATATTATTACGCACACGCTAACTGGTTGTCATTAGGTTAAATGGAATCGGGTATACTGTCCGCCGTAGTCCCGCAGACTATCAGGTCTCAACGATCTGTCTCTCAACTGTACTGTTGCCTCACAGGCCTTACTACAGACCAAGTATCTTGAGGGTATCGAGGAACAATACCAGGTAGGGCGTCGAATAAATCTATACCAGGATATTGGTCGATTCGTAATGGTTGTCAAGTTATAATCAAGTAATCGAGTCTCTAAAGTTCCAAAAGTAATTATAAGTAACATATATAGATTGAAGATAAAGAATTAAACTAGATATATAAATAAGTATCCTTATATATCCAAACTTCTTCTTTCCTCTCGTAGGATAGATCCTATACTAGGATAAGTCCTATCCTACGATAAGATATGTCATATATAGTTCTAGACTACTCCCACGAACTACAGTACCTTACGTTAGATCCTATCGTAGGATATATTTAGTCACGTATACTAACAAGACGTTCCTACAATAGAACCCACCTTGCAACATAATACTTCCCACAACAAATCTAGTCGCAGGAACCGTGACATCGCAGAAATCTGCCGATCCTATGATGTCAAATACGTTCCACTAATCTTCCCGTTATTCCATATCGGAAAGGTACGACGAGAAGACCACGACTTTCTGATATTAGTCCACGTAACTATGGCTGACATAAAACTGATTGGCGCTCGATGGCCCATTATCAGGTTGCGTTCCCCGCAACTGATTGGTGACTGCATGTCCGTAACATATATTTGTCAACATTTATCTACTTTTTTATATACCTTTGTTATGAAATACGTATTCTAGACACCAAGTCGAGCCAATGATTTGGAATTTTGGAGGTGGATATAAAATGGTATTTCAGAATATATAGAACAAGTAACGAGTATGTACGTAACGAGTATATACGTAAGGTTTTGGATAAAGATCTATTAATAGCTTCAAGCAACATCTTGATCTGTAAATTTGCTCCCACGAAGGAGCAACACGAGTGAGCTTTTAGCTAGTCGATTTTAAGAACACATACTAAGGACCACTATTTTGTATGCTTGAATAATCTAAATACAAAATCAAACTCGCAGGTCTGTAGACTTCCGCACGACCCGGAAATGGGTCGAAGGTCCCGACCCAGCATCGGACCTAAGTTGGGTCCGGTGTCAAACCTTCCAACCCGGGCCCGCACTGGACTCTTTTTTTAGATTATATATTAATATCTATTTATTATATACCCACTTTTTTTAGCGAGGTAATAACCAGCTGTTTCTGGATGATCATTACATATTTAACTCATAAGGGAAGTAGACAACAGGTAAAAGTCGAATATCTTTGTCTTACCAGAACCGCCACAAGCGATACCTTCAATAATCCATTCACTTTGATAAAGAAAGACCTTCAATATCAGTTTCAAACAGATTGTGATATTTGAGCTATTGTAGAAGGTCATAAAAATACAAGATTTTTCATTCACTAGTACAGTAGAAATCGAAAGCAGATTGCCCCTCAAACACTCCTTTCTTTCTTTCCCGGCGCCCCACTAAGATCGCGCTAAACTGAATCGGGCTGGGGAAGTCCCAATACCTTTTTGTACTTTACAACGTAAATGTGTTTTTTTTTTCTTTTTTTCTGTGTGCTTCAAATTTTTATCAAAAAAAATTTCAGAGCTATTACAGAAAATAGACTGGAACTGGGCGGTGTATGAGCTTGAGGATTCAGCAAGGTAGAAAGGAAAGTCGACTTGTTGTGATAATGATTTTCCCGTGGAGATTCTGATAATCTGATTTCTTCGGGGATTCAAACAGTATTTTTAGCTCATCTTTGGAAGTAGTGACCGATGAAATACCCCTAATAACAGAATCTTCCACCTTCGACTGGACGCTTATTGGCGGCTGTAGTAGCTCACAGAAGCAGCTAATACATACTCCAAGGAGCTCATGTATAAGCCAAAATATAAATTGATGGGGCCCTATTTTACTCCCTCAAATCAAATACAAATTTTTGCTCCCAGGAGCCCCGAAACTTAATGTTTATCCTCTGCTGGCATTTCAAACCCGAAAAAACCCCCTTTACCATATTGGCATAGGGACATGAGACAAAGGCGTTCCATCTATAGATTGAGAACATATTGATGTGGGGTGCTAGTAAGAGCGGGCAACCCAAGAAGCCTAGACTTGCCTGCTGCGGAGACCCATTACTCCCAGTCTTGGAATCTACTGTACAGTAGTAGTAGTAGTAGTAGTTTCATTTACACTGACCCCTCGCAAAGCGATATGCAGTATACAGCGACTATATGTATCCATGTATGTACATGTAAAGTGTGCCACTTCCTGGAACGAACTTGGAGCCTCGCCAAGGCCTTTCGTGGCCTAATTGCCGTTAACATTGTCAAGCTGCCCTCGTGGCGCGCGACTGCGGAATCTTTGTGATGCCTCCGCGAAGTCCAATACAGCATCCACCGTCTTGGCTCGCGAGGCATGATATATCTGACCTCTCCTTTCTTCTTGAGAACCCCCTAGCAAGCTCGACACGTTATTAAACGCGTCGCCGACTTTCTCCCGTAATTCCTGCCGCAACTCCCTACTGTACAGTAGTTTTCAAAATCAGCTATACCACCGTACTTTCTCTTCTTGATTATCGGAAAAATAATTCCGAAGCATACTAACCCTTTTGAGTCGCCGCCCCAAATCATAGCAGAACGGCCATCGTAATTTTATGTATTGTCATCTATGCGTCATTGTCTCAGTATAGTAATATGACATGGAACAATCTGAAAATGGAACAGTAAAAAATAAGCTTGGAGGGAGCTCTGACCGCTCTCAAACCAGACATCAGTCAACTTCCATTGATTAAATATCTTTAATTGTCTTATAGTCTGGCGATCTGGCAATCTGGAAACGTTGCTAGCTAGTTCCCTCTCCCGTCAGCCATACGTTGCCTGTTTTCTCTCATTCTTTCTTTACCTGAGCAATTGTAGTAAGTCTTCCAGACTTGCATTTTCGGGGTCAGGAATGTAGTCGGACATGTCGATATCCGCCCTCAATGTGCCAACGGACGGTTCAATTAGATCGAAACTTTCAGTATACTCCGAGTGGTTGTCATGGCCACCGTTATTCCGATCGTACCCAAAGACCCCCGAACCAGCAAATTGAGAGTCAGAGACGTTGAGCTTGCTTCGACCCTGTCGATGGGTCTCATCATCGGGTACGTCCTGATGGGGCGTCCCAGATGGATCGTTCGCAGCGGCCAAATCACCCTGGTCGAAACACCTCGACTCTATACGTCGAACGCAGCTGTCGCATATTTCAAACGCCCGATGAGCGGAATCGTCCGTTCTTCCAAGATGGCACAGCCATGCCAAGCCTTTCTTGGTCGCGATACGAACAGCTTCATGATCGGCGGCTTCGGGACGCTCCATAAATTGTTCGCTACTCCAGTCGCTGGTTGAAATTGGGCTTTTCTGCATTTGCGATGAGCAGCCAAAGGAAAACTGAATAAGCAAGATAGTGATGGCTTGAACCAGAAAATGAAGAACGTTCCACCAAGGAGCAGAGCAAAGCCATTCTGAGACTGGTTCATTTGGGAAAATTTCAAGAATCGCAAAAGCCGATTGTAAGCAGGTTTTTTCAATATCTCTCCTCTGGCGAGAAAGACGACTCGTATCAGCGCTCTTGCCATCCTTTTTTCTTGTGAGACACGGCCTGTTGAGAATGATGCGAGAGCTGTAGTAATGCATAGCTAGAGAAATTCTAAAGGAATCCATGATGGGAAGGTTCGGGCTAGTGTCGAGTACCTCGAAGCTGAGACTATCCGGTAGACCAGAACGCCACTCGACCATCATGCTGTTGTAAAGATGGATACGTCTCTCGATGTCATCCAGTCCTCGCTTCACGGCATCGGTGCTGTAGACTTTGGTTGACGCGGTGTGCGATATAACAATCAAATCAGCGAGATAGAAGAAGTAGAGCTCGTTGGTCGCGTGCATTTCCTTAGTAACAGCTCGCTGAGCTTTGAGCTGCTCGAATTTCTGGTTCATTGTCCATTGCATAGGCGGGTTCTCAGAGGGCCGGTCTAGACGGGCGTTTGATGACTTATTGGTAAAAGGACTCATGTCTCCCGAGGCGAGAGGCGGGGGTGCTGAGAAGAAGCTGTTTCCTAAACCGGAGGCCCGCCCAGTCATAACAGAGAGAAGATTCTCTAGGATGAAAATAGACCACCAAAGCTTGTGCCGAGCTTCGAGAGCTTGCGCGTCTAACTTGTTATGTGAGGCTCGTAAGTGCAGACCCAGAGAGATGCTGGAGCGTGCCGCGGTGCCAATCATTTTCCACGCCCTACGGTCCGTCAGATGACTAATCCTGGTGTTCTGGTATATCTGTCAGCGTGCGACTCACCTGTTGACATGAGACGAGGTTAAAAGATAGAACGCCGCAAGTGTTTCAACCTGTACTTGCTGCAGGTCTTCATGGTCTTCTATCAAACTTTCAGATATGTTCAAAGTTTGTGCTCGAGAGAAGAATTGGTGACCCATGTCTGGAATATCTCGACCAGAAATCTGACAAAGCCTGTTGCTAATAGCGAAGATCAGGTTCAGCACAGCTAGCCATTTTCTTCCCGGATTTTTTGACCATTCGGAATAGAGTAAATTAAACTGGTCGATAAAAAGGTCCTGGCGAATTATAGGCAGAGACGGCTGGACACTGTCAAAATATAACCCCAGCAGCAATTGTGCCAGTGCTTTCGATGGCAGCTCATAGGAATTATTGACTTCGGAACCAGGATACTCGGCTGATTCGATATGATAATTGAAGGAAGCCATGGGAACAGACTCCGGGGGTGATAAGCTGCGTCTACCTTCCAATGCCTTTTCGTTGCCAGATCGATTACTAGCTTCTGTTTCCAGACCGCGCATCCAGGCAACCTCAGAGCTTTGACCTAGGTATCCGGTCGCTCTACTCTGTTTGCTCCTGTTTATGTCCTCATCTAGAACGTCGAGGTTGTCCAGTGAGCCAGCTGAAGAGGGCGAGGCGGCATTTGACGATATAGTTACACCTTCCTGTGGCGTAACCCTTTGAGACGAATGTCGCTATACTGCAAGTCAGTGTGAATGAACTGTAATTGTACCCTGAAACAAACCAATGCTTGCCCGATTTTCTTCGCCAAAGGAAGTTCAACTTCGTGAATTACCTCTCGAAGTAGTCCTTCATAAAGGTTCGCTTTCTGCTTTACACGCTCCAATTCTTTTTTATCCCTGTCTCTTTTCGGCTCAGAGTAAATGCAGAGTAACTCCTTGATGTCAGCACACTGGCCGCATTTCGGCCTACTGCCATCACATTTCCATTTGCGTATTCGGCACTGATCACAGGCGCGAGCTGTACGGCCAAATTTTCGACCTGCCTGTGGATCTGCCAAGCGGGGAATGGGAAGGCGATTGGACATCATTTGGCCATTGGAAAAATCAGATATTTTGTGTGTGTAGTGGCGTATACTCAGACTGAGCGTTGCGAAAGGTTTATACGGTCTCCTTCGCCGTCACTGAATTTACCAACCAAACCAGCCCGTAAGACTCACGTGGGCTTACGTCATAATTCGCCACCCCTCTTGTATAGTGCGGCACGTTGACTGCAGCTATATGCCATGAATTCGTTACTCTAGGCATGGCGACAAATCGGTCGGTAGGGGTAATTTCAGATACAGTAGATGATCCTAGAATGATATAAATCTTTGTTTGTCGAAAAAATGTTGGGTATTGCATACGAAGAATATCTATCTTCAACTGTGCCACTAGTCCTTTCCGTCATTTCGAGTTTAGCACGCGTAGATACTTCTGAATTGCCGCGGGCTTACGAAAACAATATAACTGGTCTCAAGGGCTATATAGATAGAGAGAGATTTCTCGGCTATACATTTGAGACGTAGTAAATAAGTGATGATTTGTGTCAACATCCCAACAAAAATCGGATGTAGCTTCAAGATAGGAAGCCTAGAAGCCATAACACTTGAAGTAATCTTAGATAATAGATTCTATATGTGTACGATAGCAGGGAAAGTAACTTTGCCTTAGATCGATGTACACCAGATAGCCTGCGTATTGCGGTTTCAGGTAAAATACATTATTTGTTTCCTTGAAATTGTATTATATTGTAAGGTAAATCAGCTAATTTGGAAAGCGGTTTAGAAAATGGGCCCCAAATAGCCCATCCTATCAGAACTCATGGCCGCCGTAACTACTTTCCAGAAATCAAGTCAAAAGAGTGCGATGGTATAACTGATTTCGAACATCACTGTACAAACAGTTTCTCTAGCCTGCATATCGCTTTGCGTAGTTGGATCCTAAACCATAGCCCACTAAGCTGAGTAAGGATTCGTATTTTGGTCCCTGGGTTTCGAGTAGTGACATTATGGCATTGCAAGCAGGGATTTGGTAAAGAGCGTAGTTTCTATCATTTTCAAAGAACTGCGATTGGCAGTTTGCTTCATTGCTCCGCCACAGCGGTATTTCCAGCCGTCTCCAAATCTTGCTCTGTGATTAAATGAGGGGCGGGGTAGTAGGAATTCTAAGATAGTTAGTCTTTATATCCAATGATTGATACCTGACGGCATACTAGTTGGGACCCAAGAAAGTCCCAAAATCCTGATGCGTCCGCTGAAAGGATGAACACTTGACCCGTCTCCCGTAGTCGTATTCCCAAGCAGACGTCTGCTTCACACATCCTACTATATTCACGTGCTTTCTTTATCAAATTGGACTTGCGACGGCATTGCTTTTGTCGCATTAATTTTCTCTTCGAAGAGGATCGCTGCGAAGTATTTTTTGGCGCCATGATACCTCGGGATATGTCTTGACGTTGTGGTTGTGAATTATTGGAAATTTGAGCAAGGAGGAGGCAAAGAAGCGGACTATACTATAGACTTCGCCTCTCTGGTAGCGATTTGTATTCTAAGAAGTCAGATGACGTTGATTCGAAAATAAGCGTGATTACAGTTCTCGAGGGAATTGAACACTGGTACGGTTCAACTGCTGGTTGAGGATTTGAAAAGGCTGCGTCCGTCAAATAATGCGTGGACCATTTTTTCACGATGTTTAAAGACAGGGTGGAGGCATCCCGTGTTTGAACATCGCCATGCCCACAGGATATTGGAAGCTTGAGAAATCGAGCAAGAGTTTCATGGTTGATTGGCTCATGATGAGTCGATGTAGAGAACCATCAACTTTGTAATGCTGATTTTCAATTTTCTAGAAGATGCACCAATACAGTATGTACTTTACAAGGACCGAAGTAAATGTACTCTCTAACAAGTATGAAGTCATGAAGCTTGAAACCTCCTCATGCATATTCCCGATACAACCATTTGTCTTTTCATATACGAATTAAAAGCCCATACGTAAAGTACTTTTCGAAATCAGCGATACCTGTACATTCTTCCTTCTTGGTTCCCGAGCAAGGATCCTACAAGCGCTAGTCCCAATGTGGAAAACCTGGGTGCCAATCCGCCCCTCAAACCGCTTACTTAGATAGGGATAGTATCTACAATACGATCCCGAACGTCGACAATGTAATTTACACGAAACTGCCTTACTTACCTATCACCCAGTGCTCCTCCCTTTCTTTGTGCGTAAACAACTATTCTTTCAACATCACACCGTCTATACTTTACCAAGAGCTGTCACAAGCCCAATTTAAATATTTGGCTCCGGGGCTTTCTGCTTCAAAGTTTGATCTCATTCGCGACATGATAGAGAGCCAGTCTTTTTCTACGTCTCAGAATGGCCGTTGAAGCAGCAGACAGCAAAGTTACGATCATTTATCTCCGCAGAAATTTACGGCAATTCGAACCATCTATGCGCAAAAAACTCGAATTGGCCGGAGACGAACGACACTGCATATTTTGTACAATAAATACTCTCATCACATGAAGTGAAGTCAGAGAACGAATGCATAACCTTCAATCAAGAATCAACGCGCTTTTCTGCGAAACAGCTGCTTTCCAAATACGCATCAATGGTCAGCATCTTATTAATCAACATGTCATTTCAACAAAGCCATTTATCGATACTGTTTTAAGTGAAGCGTACCTCATATAGGGGTGAGTCCCTCAGAACCCCTCAGATATCAAATCACGTCTGGTGACTGGACCAGGAAAAATCAAAACTCCGCCCCGATCGTTCGTCATATGCTTGAAGAAGTAACATCCCCCTGTGGCGCATTGATAGAAAATTGGCCGTGGGACTCTAGCTCTTCCACCGTCTGGACCTGATCTGCTGAATTGCATCCCGACCGCTATTTCTCCACCCCAACTCCGAAAACCGACCTACGCCTCGGTTATCCAAAATGCCCCCACATCTTTAGAGGAACCGACACCTATAAGTCAGAGTGAAATGATGGAGACTGAAGACTGTCAAGCGAGGCCCTCGATTATCCGATTATCGTGGCATGACCGATTATATATAGTCATGTTGGACACGCGCTCATTAGTGATGGAAGAGGCGGGGCTTATTTCTAAGCATATCAAGTAGCATTTACATCAAGTTCGTGAAAGGCTCGGATATCTCACAGCCATTGGTCTATGTCGATATCTGGCAATTGATGGAGAAGAACGGGCGTCGCGGATCAAGCTCACTTGCATGGAAAGGGCTATTGTCAGTCCAGCTCAATCGGGTGAAGCACTCCATTTGCAAGTAAATTGGGTTTTAGTAAGTGTAATCAGACCCAGAAATCAAGCTAGGTTTTGTTCCCTCTCAGATCTCAGTGGATTTCATGCTACTAAATTCAGTCAGCCACAGGCACCCTGCAAATTCTCGCGCTCCCCTTGATACAATGGTGAGTCACTGCGCCCGGGCGAAGCGGACATATCATATCGTTTAGCCACATAACCCTTGCAACAAACCCTTAAACTAAGGAGGAAAGGAACAGAGAGTCACACTCAGGAATTTGAGCCGCCGCCGACCGGACCAAGCAGGACTATGCGAGCCACCTAGTTTTGATCAATCTCCACGTTCGCCTGCCCCAAAAAAGCAAAATAACATTGATTTCTTTAGAACCTTAATCTACCGGGCGGTGACTGCACGCCGAACTGCGATCTGCCCTGTCTCATCCTCTTCGGATTTTTTGACCTCTGACGCAACTTCATCAACTTAATTTCCCTATCAGAAAGAAGGGACTTGCCTTAGATGGATTTTAAATGGACGTCGTGAGTTCTTATGTACCCATATTTCCCCTGTCGCTGATGCCAAAAGCCAATATCGATCGTCGCAGAAAGCAAGGAGCTCCGAGGACTAAACCTCATCGCCACCCATTCGCATGTCAGAGGTCTCGGTGTCGATCCGGACTCGCTCCAGCCTCTTACATTATCAGAGGGTTTAGTGGGCCAGGAGAAGGCCCGGAAGGCCGCAGCGGTAATTCTGCAGATGGTCAAAGAAGGCAAGATGGCTGGCTACGCCGTTCTGATCGCGGGACCTCCTAGCACAGGAAAGACAGCAATTGCAATGGGCATGGCATAATCTCTTGGAACGGATGTATCTTTCACAATTCTTTCTTCTTCTGAAATCTTCTCATTGCAAATGTCGAAAGCAGAAGCCTTGACCCAGGAGTTCCGGAAGTCCATTGGCGTGCGCATTAGGGAAGAAAGCGAAGTGATTGAGGGCGAAGTCGTTGAGATTCAAATCGACCGGAGTGCCACTGGCGTGAGTTTATACTCGATTTGGATAATCGGTGCCATTGTAACTGACCCCTACATGGCAATAAACAAGGAAAGCTCACGATCAAGACCACCGACATGGAAACAATTTACGAAATGGAAACTAAGATGATCGATTCCATGTCTAAGGAACGGTTAATTGCAGGGGAAGTCATTTCGATTCACAAGTCCTCGGGTAAGATCATAAAGCTCGGCCGGTCATACGCACGCTCTCAAGATTACGACGCAATAGGCGCCGAAACCAAGTTTGTCCCATGCCCCGAAGGCCGGGTCCAAATTCGCAGGGAAACTCTCCACACCGTTAGCCTTCATGAAATTGATGTGGTCAACTCATGTTCAAACGACTATCTAGCTCTCTTCTCTGGTAACACAGGCGAGATTCGGAGCGAAGTTCGGGAACAAACCAATATAACGCTGGCTGAGTTGGAAGACCAGGGCAAGGCAGAGATTATGCCCGGTGTGCTGTTCATTGACGAGGTACATATGCTCGATATTGAGTGTTTCTCCTACATCAACCGTGCTCTTGAAGCCAAGTTAGCCCCTATCGTCATTATGGCCAGTAATCGCGGCCAAGCACGTATCCGCGGAACTACCTATATCTCTCCTCACGGCCTACCTGTCGATTTCCTTGACCGGGTAGTGATCGTCAGCACGCAGTCATACTCGACTGACGAAATTCGTCAAATTCTAGCCATCCGAGCACAGGAAATAGAAATTGATCTTCCGCCTCATGCTCTAGAACTCCTCACCAAAATTGGTCAGGAGTCGAACCTACGATATGCTATCAACATCATTACTACGTCCCATCTTTTGAGCCAAAAACGCAATGCTAAGCAGGTCACTGTCGACGACGTGCAGAGCAGCTTCCGGTTGTTCTACGACCCAGCTCGGAGCGTGGATTTCTTGAAACAATATGAGGAGAGCTTAATTGGCGACCAGGGCTCTGTTAAAATCTCTACTGCCATCAATATTAATGCCATAATATAGTGAAAAAGCGCCCTGGTAGCCGACCAGTCTTTGCGGAGTTGTTCCCCTGAGAGAAAATAATATTTTCATTAAAACCATTCAAAAATTCAGAACCTAATATCCGTTCCCTAAGGTTAAGGCAAAGAGCTCCAGAGTGACTATTATAATTATTTTGATGGGTACAACCAGTTGAACGGAACGATGCAGCAAGTTTAATTTGCCGCCCCTCACCGCCCCACCGCGCCGGTCAGAGATAACGCAAAATTTCGTTGGGGTGTGTTGGAGACAGGAAATTGGAGTGTATTTAGTTCGGAACGCTGATCGGGCTACATTTTCGAAGTCAAGGCTCGGCGATGCTGTGTTTCAATCGCTTCAAGTTCAATCATCTAGATGCGATCGAAGATCAACTGGTAAATTTGGGTACTGAATGCTGTCGATTGGCAGACCACGGAACAGAGAATCGTTCTATTTATTTACAAAGATTACGCTCCGTTAGATATCAAATACTGTTGTTCTCGCCAAGCACTAAATATTATTAGTTGATACATCTACATAATGCTACCGGATCTGCATGGCCGGCGCTGAGGACAGAATATCGGCGGCCTGGCGCATTAACTTGGCAGACTCGACTTCGGCGTGTGGTAATGACCTTGCTCTCACCGATTCGCTTGGATTGCGCGGCCATGAAGAATGAATCTGCTGATTATGGCTGAAAAAAATGTCCTTGATGAGCATCGACTCGACCTTCACACCCCAGCCAGCAGCGACCTCTTCGATAATCTCGGACGTTGACTGGGCGATTTCCTCGCGGCGCTCGATCACATCCTGTAGCACGCGGGCACCAATCAAATGAATCACATGGCGCAGTGTAGTCTGGGTGTGCTCGACTCGTCGCACGTTGGTGATTCCGAAGGTGGCCTTGTGGGGAGAGACCACTTCGTAGTATGTGGCTAAGGTCAGATTGAGGGTGACGTTGTCCTTGGTCATGCAGACCTAACAGGACGTCTCGACGATCTGAATCTTGACATCGACGGTTGTGATATGTTCGCTGAGCAGGTTCACTTTGACCAGACCGGGATCGACCCATCGTTCGAAGCTATGGAGATCATATTAGTTGTGCGCGACACAGGGAGACAGACTGGAAAGCCTAACCGTCCGAGTCGTGAGACCAAGTCGACTGCACCTTGTTCGACAGGCTCGAAAGGGTTGGGGTAGCAGATACAGCAGGGAATAGCTCCGCAATAACCGATACATGCACCCATGCTGTGGACTATGGTGGTTAGAGAATGAATATCATGCGGATTTGGGTTTGACTTACTCAAACCGGCGAACCAGCCGTGCGCATCGGGATCGTTAAGATCGTGTTGGATTCTCTGTGCATACTTGGGCTGCAGTTCATTCGGACGGAGAGGTTGGACGTTGATGAGACGTTTCTGACGGATCTCGGCGTCCCCGGCCGGAGCCTTGCTGTTGCTTGCATTGTTTACAGACATGATAAGATAATGAGTCCTGGATACTTCAAAAGAGTTAAGCGAAGGGAGGGCAGGGGTAGATGGAATGAGGGGGTCGCAGGGTTTAAATGTAAACAGAAAACAGAGCTCTCGGGCAGCTGCACTTCTCCGCAGTGGGAGTCGTAGACTTATTGCTGTCTACTCTTTGACAATGTACTCATTAAATGCTCATTGGATTGATGATTCTAAGCCTCCCCTGGGGCAAGGCTGAGTCCGTCTTCAGGCGCACTGGTCCACATGCATTGCCGAGTAGCCGCGATCGTCATGGCTTGATTCAAATGATACGGGTTAATGTCTTCACTTACTATTTACATAGCTTCATGCACATGTCAACAACTAGAAATGCTAGATCCTTCCATTCCCATTCGGCCCTTGCGCCACATATCTGAACATTCTCCATGCAGCATGTCAAATGTGAGAGCTCAAGGCCTAGTTTATAGACGTCCACTATGTCTCTACCAAGGGACAATATTTGACTCAAGTCTATCGTGGCCATGCTAGAATCATAACATGAGCTAACGCGAGAACGAATACGTCCGTGGAAATGTGGCGAACCTTCTGGGCAACAAATCCTGGACAAATCAACTATCGACGGTTGATGAATTGGTAAGTTCTTGTACTTAGCAATGGATTATCACTAATCAGCTGCTCGTAGAGGAAAGATAGAGAACGTCAAGGTCCTCGTCGAGAATGGGGCGGACGCGAGATTTACGTGGTCAATCGTAAACTACGGGATCGCTGTCTTAGCTCAGGTTGTCAACTGTATGTTAGTTACCTAGGTTCTATCACCACCAAGCATACTGTAGTTGCTGTGGCAGGGAGTAATTGCCCCTGTGGATGCACGTTGTACCATGCACATTTTCTTCTACCATCTAAAACATTATTGAGAAGTATAAAGCGTGGTGAAGGACGATTATTATGATAAATCAGTCCAGTGACAGGAATATGGCATCCTGCACATACCTTCAATTAATACACTATTTTTTGAACAGGTATTTCCTTGGAATTTTATGCAAGCGTGCTGACAGGATGCCAGAGGAACAAGCACACACCAGAAGGAAAATCCTGCATAAGAAATGATCAGATGGCTTGACAAGGAGAGGACTAGAAGGGTGCAACTCACGCTAACCCCAGTTCATATCCCCAAAGCGAAAGTAAACGATGGCATGAATCAGTCCACCGCCAAGTGCGGGCTCTTCCATCCCACCATTTCCCGTGTGGGAGTACCTGAAATATAGGTCTGGTGCCTTCTGGGGGATTCTCTCCTGGTCGCCACTCGTAATAGTACTCACAGGACCCGACTGGAAGTGGCAAGTATTGGGCAGTGAGGGTAAAAGATGCGATCAAAATACCAGCAGTAATAATGCGGAAGATGGTCACTGCTATCCACCAAGATCTGCTTGTCCTCATTCTGATCTGGGGAATAAGCATCAAGACAGTCCATCCTACGCCTAAGCTACCCTGAGGCACCAGATTTGTCAGTATGTGGGTCAGTCATTAAACGAAAAACGAAGGGGACTGAACACACAGCGACAACAGGTGCGACCGCACTACTCCATATATACGGGCTGTACGGAGGCTGGAGAACTTTGGGATGATTTGCAAGTTCCCCACGGTATTTATTTCCTAGGTAGATCATAATAGGAAATCCGATAAGGAACACAAAAGGAAAAAGAAGTAACTCGAACAAAATCAGTGTGAGCTGCCAACCGCACTGTAGCCTTTCATTGCTCATCGTGGCTTGCAAATTATAATGATTTTCTACCTTATTGCTTCCTCTTTATATCTTGTCTGTCTAGAAGACGCCAAGAGCCATACCAAGACCGATCACCGAGTGTTGTCTCCACTATGGAAAGGGATCATCACTGAATACGAGGTCAACCAATTCCTAAGCGAACACAGTCACTTGTCTCCACAGAACCATGTTGCCTCGCAGCTGAAAGAAAGGAACAGGGATTTTGATTGTTAGCAATTGAATAGCTCTTCAGTCGCAGAGATTCAACCATTCTTAAGTATTGTGAGTCCAAGTACGGACCTTATTTAAGCTTAGGAATGTACCACAGCTATTTTGAAAACTTCGGAATAAATTTTGGTGGAGACACCAGGAAAAAAATCAGAAACATAAATTAGTAAGTTGTGATGGAAATAGCGTACATTTCCGTACGGAGCTCGAGGATCCTCATTCAAGTTTAACAAAATCCATCATCAAACGAGATCACCGAGTGCTTTGGCCTCGTATCCCTGACGGGAAGTGGACCAAGTGAACGACCAATTCTTGTCGTCGCCAAGTTATATTAAATAGGATCTAGTTTCCACTATGGTAGTAGCAGTTCGAATGACCACTCCCCATAACGACTGAGTCCCCGAACCCTTCGACCTCGAATAACTGTCTTCTTCACAGTATTTCACCACTGTTCACTCTATTCTCACCATTATCCAAGGGATGTACGAGAAAAGAAAAGCAATTGCTACCTCTATCCTTTTTTCGTGTTTCTGGTCCCGACCCGCTATGACTGCAACGACAAACTTGTCCAGCCCGGTTGGGATCGAGCTAGATGTCTTGTTCCCACGCAACACAACGTACAACAATATGACAACCCCGCCCGTTGTGTTTACCCTCCAAAATGCCCCCACGGCCGTCTTCTTCGAATACAGGATAAACTGGAAATTAAATAGTGACGACGCCTACTTCTTCCTGTCCAACAGTTTCGACGACAGCAACGGTGGCAAGAAATTTAATTATACCGCCGGCACAACCGCGCTCCTGGCAGACTCGGCATATTGGGGCGACAATCTGGATGCCGGCTCTTATACTCTCTCCTGGAGCTATACCACAACCACCTGCGACGATCGTGGCGACTCTACGCTCATTCAGACTAGCCATGTGGCGGCAGGAAACCTTTACTTCACCGTTGTAAATGATGGAAGTGGCTCAGATTTATCATTCAAGGAATGTCCCGATTACCTGGATAATGTCATGGCCAAAGCAGCTTCTCACTCGTGTCTATCACTCATTTCGAAGGGGGAGAGCCGCAGCCGTTCAACGCGAAACTGAACGAGAAGCAAGTGAAATGTCTAGACACATACTTTGATGGTCGGACGGATATGGATGCTTGTGAGGCTGGATTCGATGATATCAACACAGGGGACAAGGTAGAATGGAAATATGCAAATCAGGCGCGGAATACACACAGTCAAGCTGGGGACGTCAGCACGACATCTTCTGGAAGCAGCAGCAACAATATCTCCAGCTCTGCGGGCACGAGCAATTCGGGTCATAACTTGAATGGTGAAAGTGAGCCCAGCAAGGAATCGAATGACTCAGGTGACCGTTCACTGGGTATTGCCCATCGTCCAGGGTTGGGACTTGGGGTTGTAGCTTTGTTAGTGGCTGGGGTGGTTTTTTCATAAGGACATCTAAATGTCACGTTATAGTGGCTGAAGTTGACAACTAATTCAACTATCCTACGCTCAGATAACTCTTGACCTGGCGCGTATAGAAATATTCACAATGTAGCAATCTACTGAGTCTTAAGTCAAAGAGCTTCTTTTGAAAATAAGCTAATCTTTGTTGATTTGCTTCTCTCAATTGGCGTTTACATTTAATAACTCCCCCGGCAATTTTTGCGAGAAAGTTCCTTGTCGAAAAATGATCGTAACAGGGGCTGCGCAAATTCGCTATCGACCATCCAACCAATCGCTTCCGGTATTGAGCCATGACATCAGGTCGTACCCATACTATTGGTAATTAACATGCCCTTCATACTTTATCCGCTCGTCTAAAGTATTCCAGTAAAATCAATTTAGTACGATACAGTTGGTTGGGCCATTGTATATCGTTATATCTGGGTATCGCACTACAGTATTATAAATGTATATCTCTGGCTTAGATACAAATTTCTATAGGAAATAGCCCCTTTTATCCATCTGCTTTTGTGCTTTCAATTTCCTATCCTGCTTCAGCCTCTTATATCCATAGAGACTAGTTATTGACTGCGTTTCGCCTCGGTCCTGCTAATTGAGGCAAAAAATCATCATCCGCAGTCATCTGGGATCCGGCGTTGGTATGGTAACCCGCGAAAACTTAATAGTGGGTATATCTTTCATGGTGGACATCAAACATTTAAAAGCTCATGATTGTCCCATGGTGTACAGGTCCGCTCGAAATCAGTTTCACCATTTTATTCTCTGCGGTTGTTTCTTTTGTCTTGGCCAGGCCCACCTTGGCTTACATCTGGCCTCGCCCAGCCATAACTGTCGAATTGGAAAAAGGTAATAAATATATACTAGTCAAATAAGGCCTAGCGTCGATAAAAATAGAGGTTGTGAAGCAATCAAGGAGAACAAATTTGTGAAACTGATTTCGAGCGCGTGGGTATGCTATTATGCTTCTTTTGCACCAAAATATTGCCAGTGCAGCGCCGTCACTAGAAAGACCAAGCAGACATCATGGATAATGAGCTGTCGTAGGTACCAAAGAGGTCCAATACCCGAGACACAGAAGAACACAATGAACTGACATGGCAAACTGGTATTTTTATCTTAGATCCCCTTCTCGAGGAATCCATCAGCTGACAATATATCTCATGGAGGCAATGGATCGGCTGAAAAATTGCGTCGGATCGTTGGCAAGTTTGTCCACGGTAATCGCAGCCACACAAGCCAGGTTCTACGGCTGTCTGTTGACCAGTCCACTGGTTCTGTAGCTACAGAGGTAGCTACTTCTATTGCCAGCTCGAGAGGCTATAGGATGCCTTCAAACGCCATAAAGGCTGAAAATCAAGACCTGCCTCAACTGAACGCGAGAAAGGGAGCAGCCGAATCCTCGAACCTCTTACAAAAGCACCGTCGACACTCATACTCCGCCTCTCAAACACCGGGCTTCTCACAGCTGGCGACACAATTATCTCATCGAAAGAGTCCCCCAAGCCGTACAACAATCAGTAGGAAAATGGTTAGCGATACAATTCAATACCTACAAACGGTAGCGAAACCCCTCATTCTGCAACTTCCTTTCGGAGCTACTACAGCCGTTTGTTATAGAAACGTGCATTAGGACTAGTCACTGAGATAGTTGACCACATTTGCCTCGATAACACGATCTTAGGTGATTACAAGTGAGACTGGTCCAGAACATGCTGTATTGTTCGCAGACACAACGAATATAAGCTGATTTCCATGCTGTAACTCCTCTTCCAGTACGACGTCATTGTGATTTTTCTGCTTTTAAACAGTGCGAAGGATAGCTCCGAGTGGCCGATCCCTCACATTCTTCTTGCATTGTCCCATAGGCCTGCCAGACTGAGTCTGAAAGGGTGATTTCAGTCATCGAGTGCGCATATCAGCCTCTCCCGGGATAGTTCCAATGCCTGTTCGAAAAGGCGCAGCCTGGATAGCTGCTTGTCATGGTGAAGCTGAAGGCCGTCCCTCTCTTTTCTTAGGTGCGTACCAGTCTCCTTCAAAGCACGGTTGTCCTGCTTTAGCTTATGGGTAATTTTGTGTTTGGACACGCATGACTCCCATAATTGTTGATGAAGTCCGACAAGTCGAGTTGCTGGAAAGGCGAAATTGGGATCGTCGCGTTAGAGGCCTACTAGCAACTTCAGAATGGGTTGAAAGGCTCGGTCGCCAGGGTGTGTCTTGTTTCTGCTTCCTGTTGCGAAGTGGAGGGCTGCAATGGTCAGCAAAAGCATTTGAAGCCGAATCGTTTCCCTTAACAATGGGACATGGTCAGAGCTTTCCTGTGATTTGTCTTTCTCAACAAGGATGGGAAATTTACTGGGCTGCTGTTGCTCCTCTTTTCCCTGATCTGGGGAGATTCCCGCGACATCCATTTCGTTTGCTGGATGAAGTCAAGATCTGGACAATACCATTTCCACCAATCCTTGGTGTCTCTTATTGACTTTGCAAACACATGTGGCTATGGACTGAGTTTTACAATCACCACTACGGTCTGCTGACTTCTCGCGACAAAATTGTAGACGCTTTTCGATCATCCAACGTTGAATCGCTCACAGATGAGGTATCAGACCACGAAATACCAGCCTGCCATTGCGGATTGAATAGCAAACCAGTGCCTCGATTGCAGAGAGCCGTGAAGGATTCAATAGTCAGCCAACGTTTCTTGACCGACTCAGCATCCTTATCCTCAACACCACTCTTTACTCGTCTTTCTCGCTGAGAATCTAAAGGCATCAAGAAGGTCGCTGCAAAAAGTTGCAGGGCTCAGTTAAGAAGTTGTCACTCAATGCTTTCTACAAAGCAGCGCACTTACACGAAAGGACGAGCCGAGAAGCCTATAAATACATCCTCTACCTCTGGCATTTTCCTTTCCAATTCATTCCCCTCACTACACAAAGTCGGGGAGGGCTTGTCTGAGGCACTTGAAAAGGTGTTCCAGTTTGACCGAGTAGTGAAATCTCCACTGTGCTGACATTTATAGAATACGTCGTGGACCAGCAAGTCGAAAAATGCCTGGGAGAGACGTGCTTCCAGCAGGCCCTTTGTGCCATTCACGCTAGTCGATCAATAAAATGACTTTGGGGTTAACTGGACAAGGTGTCTATGAGAAAATGACTTCGCCACAGCAGCCGACTGAGCTGATCTACTGTACAGCCCTGTGTATCCCCGAGGAAACAGCGCCAATATCTGAGTCTTAGCCTGAGTTTTGTAAATTCTACTGACCCTGAAGACAATACGATTCCAATAGAACCGACATTCGACCACAATGCACGAGCGCAAGGACCGCAACTCTTTGCCGTTCTTCTTCATAGGCTTGGCCACCAGAATATGTGAGTAATGGAACAACTCGTCGATCTATAAGCTGATGAATGACAGTGAACCATTGAAATTGCACCAGAGTGGCCCCGAGGAGACAGCATCCCCTTTAGTGCCCTACACGCAGCCATGGCTTGCATAATATTTTTGGTCCGGTCGCTTCGGACCACGCAGCATACCCTAGGTAAAAGAGGAGCGGGCGGAATAAATGGTGCGAATACCCGGTTGCGAGCTTCGCTGCGTAGAAGCTTAAAACGTCCTTCGTTCCTGATAATGTGAGTGACTTATCGCCCTCTGCGGCGCTATATCCATTATTCGTGCAAATTTCTGTGCTCCAAAACAAAACTAACACCACTACTGATTTTCATGCCATTGTAGATAGGAGCAGCCCATCGCCGGATCCGAAATAAGACCAAGGCGTCACTAGGACGCGTGCTCCGTCGCGTCTTCCACGTCTTCCGCCCTCGACCTCACCACCTTCACACTGAACGGCTGAGTGTAAAAATCTCTCTCCGTCCGCATCGCGAGGTCTTATCCCATTACGACAGTACAATTGCCTGTCACAGGTAATTTACCACGCAACTTTGGCTCTCAGAAATTGCCCGGTACATCCAGCGCGGCTTATTCGAGGCGACAGCCGGGGGTGCGACGAATTGGATACAACAAAATGGCATGAAGGGTGACTGCATTGATGGAGACAACCGTAATTTATCTCTTCGGTAAGATATGACCACGAAGCTAATTGGTCGTATCGTCTTAAGTGAACATTCCGCGAACTTTATGAACAGATAAGCTAGGACAACTCGTCCAACTGGGTCAATCCTTGCTGACCGGGATCGTATAATAGGACACCCTGATATTCCCTCTACTCGAATTGAATGCGAAGGGAGCAAACTTCATGTCAGCTCGAGCTCGCCTATACCAATACGATCGCATGCTGTCTATCCGTTCCATATGGCTACTCGTGGCACCAACGATGAATCACCGAAAGGTCCATATCGTCTACCTCGGACCTTCTCCCAGTCTACTATGTACATTGGGTCATGTACTGATGTATTTACCCGATACAATTCCCAAACTCGAATGGGATTATAACACCGTGTGTCTCGGCATTCCAAAAGCTTGAACGAATAGCCCCTGGTGGATCGAAATTCTGGCGTCCAATGGGTGATCCTAATTTCCTTGGCTTGCATGTCGCATCTTTTCAAGCCACTTCGAAACACACCGAGGTATGTTGGTGGTTTTGTCTAGCTTGATGGAAGGTGATCCATAACTTCGCTGACAGCCAGATGGTCAGCCAAGTCTGTGTGCAAGGAGAAGGTGAGGCAAAGGTCCCGTTGTATTGAGCCCGCATATTAAATTTACTATATCAGCTACGAGCGAGTAAAAGAGACCGTCTAGTCCCGCTTCATAGCCGAGCCGACTCAAGAGCCATGAGCTACGAATCAGCGACCTTTACTGTCCTAACTGATCCTACTCCGCATTGCTGGACCGTTCGACGTATACGACGCAGCGGGAAGAGGACAACTGGACATACAGAAGGCTGCGCCGAGGGCGCTGTCAGACATCCTGTGGTGATTTTGGACAAATGTTGGGCAGTTTTGATGTCTTAGCACGCTCCTTTCTATCCAAGCCCGAGCAACATGTGCAAAGGTTATTTACCCTGGAGGTAACTGCAGCTAGAGCTTAGTCAAGTGGAACGTGTGTATCATTTTCTCACAGATATAGTCTTCTAACATATCGCGCGCAAGCAACTCTTTTCCAGGAAATGGCCGAGTTCTCCACGTCCCCTACCTCGACTGTCCTTAAGTGTCAATTATTTGTCAGACAAACTGCGCTTTGGACTGGTATATCACTTTTCAAGCAGATGCTTTGGGAAGGTGGCATTGATGTCCGTAACAACACCACCAGAACTATCCTGCTGCGCGACCTCTTTGACTATCTCCGACAACCTATGCTGGAGTTTCTACCCCTAATCAGCCTTCATGTGGTACCGTTCGGCGGGAATGGAATAGGGGCATATCTGTGGCTCCAAGCCATGTATATAATACCACAAAAGTCCGTCGTACATGTTGGTGAAATCGTCTTTACCCGATCTGGTCAAGATGGCGCTTGCTAGACCCCGATCTGGCTGCAACCGTGGTCCCTCGGCAGTAGAGCATGCTTGATCGCATAGACTCGAGTACTACGCCCAAAAAGCAGTGGCCGCAAATCTGAGTGCATTATTATTACTACATGGGCGATGTGCTCACATTATAAATCGTAGTTGTTGGCAGGGATTACTCACAGAGGTACGACGGTTCCGGTATGTAGAAGGAGCCGATTGGATGTTCTTGAGCCAAAGCCTTCATTTACTTAATTGTCTTTGATGCGAATTCATATTGACTATCGTCACCATTTTAGGATGTAGGCATTCTACCGTGGGGTGTTGAATATTTCTCGGGCGCACTAGTAAAGTTGCGACCCTCTTTTGTCGACAGTTGGCTACGGCTGGCCCACCTATGCAGATGAGGCCCGTGCCTGATTGGTGTCTAGCATGTCTGTAACAGGCACCCCTAAGTGGTCCACCCACCCACTAGGCGTCTAAGTAGACGGCAATATGGGACGTAGACTGTACGGTCTCAGCCCGTTTTCTTGCGGTCTCTCAGTCTGATCCGACCTCGATCTCCTTAAAGGGTTCGGCTCGCCATGGCGGTAGTGGTCGTAATTCAATTGTGTCCAGTTTGTCTTGTTGCTGTTTAGAGGTATGAGTTGACTTGTTATTTAAGCGGGACACATGAGCCTATATATATAGCAATGAGCAAAGTTGATTTCCGATCAACTTGGTCGTCCGTATAGACTACTCGGACTTAATTCCGACGGTGTGGCTTGGCTCCTGATCTGCGCCAGTTTTTTATCTCAACAGTATCCTCAACAGCTCTAACGAGGAATGGGTCAAGGGTCTGATCAAAGAAGATGCTTAACCTGCCTGATGAAATCTAATGTACATTTTACTACTGGTTGCCTGATCAGGTGACTTGATGGGCAATTTACATGGAATGTCTGACCGATGTTACAATGAAACTATACGCTAGAGCATAGAATTAGAATGAAGATTATGCATTGAAATCAAACTATTGGTATCGGTCTAAATGTTTCATAAAATCGAAGATCAACTATCTCCTAATGCAACGTATCGATAATCTATCCAAACAATGTCTCACTAAGTGCAATCTAAACCGTAGATTGCTCAACCTTCATACCACTAGCCTGGGCATCCGAGCGGTCCATGGTAGTGTATCGACTGAAGTCACTAAGACCCCGTTGCTCATCACCAGGCGTCTCACCCGCAGCCTCAGCCTTGCGAGCCTGACGACGGAAGTAAACCCGCTTGCACCACTTCCAACTCTCAATGCCAAGAAAGAAAAGGACAGTCTCAACAAACACAATACCCCATTCCCAGGAGATACTGCTATGCTTAAAGACCTTGTGGTTGATAACGGGGATATAAAGGATAGGGAATGCAAGAACAAATCCAGTCATGATGCCGAAGAAAAGGACCTTGTTGTGCCAGATATCATGCATCCACTGGGTAAAGCGACGCTTGGAGTCGGGCTGCATCTGGAAGAAGCTGCGGCGGAGGTTCATCATCTCCCAGGCGAGGAAAAGCGCGAACCAGGTCATGCAAGTGAAAGTTGTGGCGCGGGCACGGAAGACTGTGTCGCAGGTATGGGGTTTGGTCGGATCGTTGTATTTCGTGTTGCAGCCCGTGGCGAGGTTTCCGTCGCCCCAGCGGAACATGACAAGGGCAAATGCCGAGAGACAAAGGGCGGCCATCCAAGCTCCGTAAACCAAGGTGTCGATGATGATTTCCCAGGTGAAGATTCCTTGTTTCTGTAATACTGTTAGATTGACTCTAATTGTAGGGATAAGAGAACATAAACTTTGTGGGGGTCGGTCCATCACCTCTGGGGCGGCAGATTCCATTCCCAAGCCCATATCAGGAAGGCCGGAGGTAATCATGATAATCCAGATAATCTCAACAGGCGCGATGGGGAAGACAGACTGGTTGCTGTTATCCTTGAATGCCAAACCAATAAGCAAGGTGAGGGCCAGGGCAACGTTTTCAGCAAGAAGATGCAGAACGAACTTCTGGATGTTGTCGAAAATACGACGTCCTTCTTCGATACCGTTGATAATAGAGGCAAAGTTGTCGTCGGACAGCACCAATTCAGATGCATCCTTGGCAACATCAGACCCGTTCTGACCCATTGCAATACCGACATCAGCTCGCTTGAGCGATGGAGAGTCATTGACACCATCACCAGTCATAGCAACATACTTGCCACGACGGTGCAAAGCGTCAATCATGCGAACCTTGGTGTTAGGCGCACAGCGAGCAATAACCAATGGAAGAGTCGGCAAGTTGTCAATTTCATCTTCGGTCAACTTGTCAAACTCGGAAGCAGTCATCACCATCGCATCGGCGACGTCCTTGGCGATTGAATCCATGTTCGCAGGGATGATTCCAACCTGCGCTGCAATAGCACGAGCTGTTCCGGGGTGGTCACCGGTGACCATGTGGACGGAGATTCCAGCCTTGTAACATTGGCTGATGGCACCGGCTGTCTCGGGGCGAGGGGGGTCGTAGAGACCGATGAGACCATAGAATGACAAGTCCTTCTCAATCTCTTCTCTGGGAAGAGACCCAGCACCTTCGTTTGTACCAGTGTGCTCCCGGCCAGCCATGGCGAGAACTCGAAGACCTTCTTTAGCCAGGGCCTCCATGTTCTCCAGAATCTCACCCTTGGTTTCGTCGTCAATAGATACGGAGTTAGCGCCAGCCTTCCACTTGATCGTGGTACATGCCTCAAGAACCCGCTCAACGGCTCCCTTGGTGAATATCATCTCGCGAGTCTTCTCGGAGCTATCATTGCGCTTGGAGAAGATGACAGACATCTTCTTCACGCTCGAGTCGAATGGATACTCAGCCTTCTGCTGCCAGACAGGCTTGTCGCCCTTGGTCCAGCGGTCCAGACCCCAGTCAAATCGCGAGGCAAAGACTTGAATAGCGATATCTGTAGGTTCACCACGCGCTTGCCATCCTTCGTTGGCGGTTTGATGAATATGGGCCAAGTTAGCCATGGAAGCAACATCGAGATATTCCTTGAGGGCGTCATTGTCCTTCAGCAGGTCATCCGGGCTTGAAGGCTGGCCAGTAGACTTATCGTTAAGTCGAATGGGCTGCTCAGGTACTAAACTCAGATCACCTTCTTTGGGGTTAAGAGGATCATTCGAGGCGCCAGCTGAGTATGTTCCCACAGAAGGTATCCAAGCCTTCTTGGCCACCATGCGTCCTTGTGTGAGAGTGCCAGTCTTGTCGGAGCAGATATTAGTGACCGCACCGAGTGCTTCCAAAGAGTCCAATTTCCGGACAATGACGTGTCGTTTAACCATTTGCTTCGTTCCGACAGCCATGGTGATTGTCAATACAACAACCAAGCAAGCCGGAATCATAGCCAGACCAGTAGCGACGGCATAAATGATGACCTCGCTATCTCCGCGCCAATCGTTAGAACCAGCAACGACGATCGCAAAGATCACAGCAATGGCAAACAGCAATAAAGCAAGTTTAGACAACTTCCGTTGCAGCGGCGTACCAACATTAGTACCCAAAAACCGACCCATGGCATCGGTAGTAGTCAAAGTCCAAGCCAGGATATACCATCTCTTCTTGGTTTCTCCCTCAAGCCCACGCTTAACAGGGCGGCGCTTCGAGTCTGTTCCGCGCAGGGCCATGGCAATTGCTCCGATTTCGGTTCTCATACCGGTTCCAACGACAACACCACGGGCACGGCCGCGAGTCACAGTAGATGAGCTGTAGGCGATGTTGAGTCTGTCACCTGGACCGGTGTCGTTTTTGAATGTAGCATCAGCATCTTTTTGAACTGGGAGGGATTCGCCAGTAAGGAGGGCTTCGTCAGTTTCGAAGTTGAATGCTTCCACCAATCTGTTTTGGTTAGCTTCACCCATAGGGGGAAAAGGCTGAATTCATACCTGACATCAGTGGGAACTGTGTCTCCCGCTTTCAATTCAACCATATCACCAGGGACAATCTCGTTGGCTGGCACGGCGGATGTCTTTCCATCACGAGAGACAACGCCCGTTGGTGAACTAAGGGACCGTAGTGAGTCCATGGTCTTCTCTGCTGCGTAGTCCTGGTAAACGCCGACCACGAGGTTGAGGGCAATGACGGCAGCAATGAAACCGCCTTCGATCCAGGACTGGATGCCGAAACTGACAGCCATGGCGATAATAAGGACCTACACGTTGTTAGTTGGGAGTTTCCGATATTCCAACTGGTCACTTACCAGCATCATGGCATTGGCAATCTGTCGAATGACAATCTTGGCGAGGGAGACGCCTTCGTCTCCTTCCAACATGTTCTCGCCATACTTCTCCAAGCGAAGCTTGACTTCTCCTGAAGTCAATCCATCATCGGAGTTTGTACCCAATTCGCTGATGACATCTGTGTAGGTGAGACAGTGGGCAGGCTGGGACAGAGGCTGTTGGGTCTGATCACTCTGGCTTTTCTCAGCTCTATCCTGAGACATCGGGGTCCGGTCGTGTGTGATGAGTCTATAAGTCTCTTAAGCGTGGCGTCATGCAGAAGGTATCCGCAAGCGAATGAGAGTCCATAAAGAGCAGTTACTTCTTTTACGCGAGAGGAGTACAGAGTAAATTGCTTGAGTCCTTTTCCTTCTGTGGCGCCGGGGTGTTTCGGGGTACGAATAAGGTCCAGTCGGACCCGATGGCGAAAGACACCTGCAACCGGGTATCTCCTCCGGAGGTCGAAGTGGTTGCAAGTCTGGGGAACCGACCAATCTCCGATATCTCAGCCAATCACGCGCCGCAACCAAGTCTCGGTATCGAGCGGACTCTTGACGCTTTCAATTCGTCTTTGACTTTTGACCGACGATGACGACATGAATCTCGGCGTTGGCTCGGCGGCTGGCCACGCAAGGAACAGGGGGCGCTGATTGGTTGCGGGGTGCCAAGGGCCCCTCGGAGAGTTTGGGCGGAGGCTGGGCAGGCGGCGATTGGGCTGCAGTTCATCTATTTCCGTCGGGGCAACACGACTGGTCTTGGCGGGGAATGTCTTGGTCAGTCTTGGTTTCTTGGGGTTAAAGTCCGGGAAGGTGAGGTCCGAGAGTGCGTCCTTCGAATCTGCCTCGGTCTGCCGTTTGATTTTGGAGAGAGTATGGGTGTTTATATCTCAGCGCACGGCGGTGCTGCATAATACACCAGAGTGATCCGAATGTCACACCGTGCCCCTTGTCCCACACTCTCCAAAGCATTCCCATTGGGCCTATTGGGCAATACTTGAATCTGGTTGAATCATCGTGCTCTGAAACGAAGGAACGGAGTGGAACGGGTTACCAACCTCACGGCTGCGCAACGCCGACGTTGACGCTGCCATAAACACATCGAGAGACACACCCCCTACTCTCCCGCCAAGCCTCTCTCTCAGCCAAGCCTCTCTCTCATTGGTGTCAGTCGGCTCCCGGGTCACGTGCCCTTGATCGAACGAAGTGAGAGGAAGGAAAACGTCCTGCACGTGACAAAACCTGAACTTTTTGACGAACTGAGAGAGTGGTCAAATACCACTAGGACCCTTTGGGACGCTTATTCATCGATCACCCAATTCCCACTAGTATTTGTACGGTATTCCGGGCAGATTCGGAAGGACGGTGTTGTAACACGCCGAAGCTTATTTGTATAGACCCCTGAGATCGTTCAACCGATCTTTAAAACACCTACAATCAATCACCTGATTCTATTGGACATGTTCAGTACCAGCCAGTACATCAATTCCTCATCCTGACAGTTATGAGCCCGATCTGCCTGACTGTATAAAGGAGATATATCACCTACCTGCTCTGTATCTCGCAGTCAACGAATCCCCGAAGCACCCAACACGGTCGGATACCCCTGAACGCCCAGCCACCCCTTGTGAGCTCTTGCGTCCAGTGCACAGAAAATCCGGACCGACAAGCAGCCTTCGGAAACGTTTTATGAGGAGATTTTGAGTATCTGAGCTATATCTTGTGCGAAGATGTCCGATATCACGAGGGAAGATCTGATGCAAGTCCCGCTTGACCAGAAGCTTCAGTCGGAAGCGCAGTGGAGGGTCTGGATAGGCCATATCAAATCAGCGGCTGTTGCAGAAGATGTGTGGGATTACCTTGATCCTGAGAAGGCGGATGACGAAGTTCTGCAGGTGCCTGAGGCTCAGGAAGAGCCCTCGTTACCCCGGGATAACCGCCAGCGGGAGAGAGATATCATGGACCTAGAAGATGCGGAGCTCAAGAGATACACGTTCACTGTTCAAGCGTACGATCGCCGCGATCAGCGCAGACAGAGGTTATTAAAGACTATGTCACGATTAAACAGCCTCATCACCCGTTCGTTAGCCACGGATCATCACTACCTCGTCGTGGGCGAGGATTCACCGCGGAAGAAGTTGATGAAGCTATCCGAAACGTTTAAACCAAAGCCTCAGAATCGCCAGCAGCAACTTCGTCGTGCTTGGAGAGAGATGATCAGGCAGAGGCCTCAAGGGGATACTAACCACTGGTTGACCCAGTGGGTTAGCCTATTCGAAGAAGGCAAGATCGCGGGTATACCTGACTGCTCTAACGGAGACCATTTCGCGATACGAGACTTCTTGGACGCTATACAACCGGTTGATGATACTTGGTGCACAGCCTGGCGCGAAAAGCTCGCAGATCAGGAGAAATCTGTCACGTTTCATGAGGTTATAGCTAGCTACCGTAGCCGCCGGGGTGATCTCGCGATCTCCGGGGGACGGAAGCAGCCAAAGATAGCTCTGGCTTCGTTAAACGGTGAACCGGAGGCTAAGCCCGCGGAGAGGACCTACCGGAAGAAATGCCCGTGCGGTAACGCTCATCCTCAGCACCAGTACTCTACGTGCTTCTACCTCAATGAATCACTTCGACCGGAGGGCTGGAAGCCACGGGAGGGTACTCTTCAACGGATTCCTGAGTTTATCAAGCAGATGAGCCCTCAAGATCAAGAGAAGATCGCCAAAATACAGCAGAAGAAGGCTGAATCAGCTCACCTAGCTGGTACGGCACCGCCAGAGGGCCAGTCCCTAGCGTTCTTCGCTAACGATACTCGATCTATCGCTGCGTCAGAAGTGGACGATGAGCCACTCAAAGATAGCTGGATTCTTGATACCGGAGCCACCTGTCATATCTGCAACGATCTCGAGCAGTTCTTGACATACATGCCGCGAGAAAGCACCGTCAAGACCGGTCAAACAGTGACACCGATGATAGGCTATGGGCAGGTCAGGATCACCGGGAAACACCCTCGTACAGGCACTACGGTGTCTGTCACCCTAGACAACGTGTGGTACTCGCCCGGCTTCCATACAAGCTTGATCTCACTCTCTGTGATTGAGGATAAGGGCTTCTGCTTTAAATCTGATGAAAGAGCGATATTCAAAGCCAATGAAGCTGTTCTTAAGGTAGAGAGACATCACGGCCTATACACAGTCATCTACAACCCGAACCACCGAGCAGCGTTTTCCGTACGGCATTCGGAGAAGCCTCACCTCTCAGCAGCTTCAGCGAGGCGCTGGCATCGTCGGTTGGGCCACGCCTTTGACCAGAAGATTGAGAAGCTGCCGGAGATGGTTGATGGGGTCAAAATTGATAGAATCTGCGAAGATAATCATCACGATAATCCCGAGAAATGCGAAGTCTGTCAGCTAACAAAGTCTAAACGCCAAATCTCTCGAAGGACAACTGGCACACCGTACGGCAAGTATGGTCGTATCCACTTCGATCTCGTTCAAATTGACCCAGGGTATAACGGAGATCGCTGGATGACACACTTCTACCTCGAAGGCGTACGCCTCCACGCGGCCTATACCCATGAGAAGAAGAACGGCTGTCAAGATGCGGTTAGTCAGTTCGTCGCACTAGCTAAGAAGCAGTGGAATCTTCCGATACGTGCCTTCCGATATGATAACGAACGCTCTGCTGGGCGTACGGTGGAAGATTTCTTGTCAAATGAAGGCTTTATCATTGAGCATAGTGTAGTGGGCACCCCGGAACAGAACGGCTTCGCGGAGCGATCTGGGGGGGTGATAATCACCGTGGCTCGTACTCTAATAGCCGATGCAGGCCTCCCTAAGAATCTATGGCCTGAAGCTGTTAGAGCTGCTGTATGGATCATCAACAGATCGCCCACGAAGCTACCAGACGGCCGGTGGATAGTCCCTTACCAAGAGGCATTCTTCAATCAGCCACAACAGCGTGTCAACCTCGCAAACTTGAGGATCTTCGGTTGCCGAGCGTACGTGCGGAAGCAGGCTATTCCGAACGCCGCGAAGATGGAGCCACGCGCCGAGATAGGCTATCTCGTTGGCTATGAAGCCTCGAACATCTGGAGGGTGTGGTTTCCCCGCAGAGAAGCTGTACGATCAGTGCGAGATGTTGTTTTTGATGAGAACGTGTTCTTCAATGCTCGAGAGCTAGAGAAGGAGCCGGTCCGCGATATATTGGAGACCATGCCATGGGCTATTGGAGACGAGGATACTGACCAGGGCACCACTGAAATAAGCCTGGATATACCTCAACCAGTTGGAAACATCGCGGACTCACAGGGAACAGAGCCACAGAGCTTGACTAAGCCTTCCAAAGAGAAAATAGCCCCTTCGCAGCCAGCGGAGCCTCAGCAGATGATATCACCGTCGCCCACGCCGTCCGTTCAGCCAGTGCAGACCTCAAATCCTCGCACGGCACCAGAATCAATCCCAGGAGCCTTCCCGGCACCACCAGACCATGATTCTCAAGATCAACTCGCTGAACAGCTTCAGAGAGAGCTCTCGGCAGCCACACTTACCCGAGAGACTCGTACTGCGCCCAGGGATATAGTGGGAGATGTTTCGTCTCGCAACATCGTGTCGGGCTCACGCAAGCGAAGATCTAGAGATATCAGCAATTTAGCCTTCTCAGCGGACGACGAGGAAAATGAAGAGGGGGTACTCGCTGCCTTTGCAACCGGCCTCAATGGATCTCATTCACATACAAGAACACACCGCGATGAGCTACCTTCGGAGCCTCAGAATTGGCGAGAGATGATGAATCATCCATTCAACGAAGGCTTCTTAGCAGCTGCTGGCCTCGAGGTCAAAACAATTGAACGGAAGGGCACTTTTGAGGTCATACAGCGTCCGAACGACCGCAGCGTGCAGGTGCTCCCACTAAAGTGGGTCTTTAACTATAAGTTCGATAGTGATGGATATCTGGTGAAGCTGAAGGCGAGAATCTGTGTCCGAGGAGATCTTCAGAAGCTTTCTACGGAAGAAAAGTATTCAGCTACCCTCGCTGCCCGTACGGCCCGCGCCGTTCTCGCTCTGGTCGCTGCGTTTGACCTCGATACACACCAATTTGATGCTGTCAACGCCTTCCTTAACAGCACACTGGATGAAACAGTGATAACGGAGATGCCCGAGGGGTTTAGGCAGTCTGGATATTGCTGGAAGCTCCTCAGAGCTCTCTACGGCCTACGGAAATCCCCA